CCGATTAAATTGTACTGACTTCACACCGAGAGAAAAGTCTACGGTCAGACGGGCGTATATTGACTCCGCCGAAAAGGTCTTTTTACCTGTAAAAAACCTATCGATTGCGCCGGCTATTTTTATATTGATTCCGTCGAAAATATATATTTGTAACATCACTATATACACATTACATTATATATACTATATATAATATATGGGATCAGTACATTTGCCTGACATTCAATTGCCCGACACTTAATTTGCCCGACAACCTCAAATTATATTATAAATAAATATGTGTCAAAAATTATTAAAAATTTCAATACAATATTATATTATACCTATCATGTTATTTACAAATTAATGTTAAATTTTAAAATTATACAACTAATAATTGTGTCAAAAATTAATAATAACACAAATATTATACTACTTACGATTTAATGTTAAGAGCGATTCCCCTTAGAAATAATAAATATGATCGATTTCCCCTGTCATTTGCATTAATACGTTTTTCTCGTTCAGCGTATTCTTTGCGAGTTGGAGTATGTGCCCTTCCACGAGTTAAATCTTCAGCTCTCCGTTTCATTTGAATTTGCTCTTTTTTAATTTCTTCGATAACTGTATAAACATCAACATGATATTTTATTTTTGGTAACACGATTGAGAACTTAATAATATAATATACTATACTATACTACTATACTATACTTAATACTTAGTACGTTTTCACATAAAGCGATAATATCCATGATCAAATATTCGTCTGATTTAGTTTTTTTTTTAATTATTATATATTCATATTGTATATTAATAAATAATAATAATAAAATATTGTATATTAGTATTACGTATAGTAAAAATATGTAAAATATATTGTCGGGCCTCGAGAAAATATTGTGGCAGGCAAACATATCAGACCCATAATATATATATACCATAACTAGCACGACGGTATAGTTGTACGAAGTTAAGTAAGAAAAAAAACATATACATTTTATAGAATAAATAAACAATAATAATATATATATAATAATCACTGATTATTAAGTGGATTACACACTAGGCGATTCAAACACGTCTCCGTGCGTTTCGAACGTCGCGATTTCAAGACGCAAACGCGTACTCATTACACATTAGACGCGTGTCGATGAGTTTTTCTGCGTTTTGAAATCGCACGGCGCTTTCACACTAGACGATTTGGGTACGTTTCTCAAAAATAAAAAGCGCGGCAAATGTTATTTGAACCATTAAATTCTTTGTACTTTGTTGTATACTAAGTTAGTACTTCTGTTACCTCTCATCGCGGATGACGCTTTTAAAAATGTCCTCAAACTCGTCGAAATCTTTGATAGAAGCTCTGGCCACCTTGGTCCAACTGACATGTTTGGCATTCTTATCATGGTATAACTTATTTTGTATACATTTAATATGTAATATTATGATGAATGACGTATACTCAGAATAACGAGTGGCATATTTATATAATATATATATAATAATATAATATAATACTATATAATATATATTTATATAATAAAAATGTATATAATTTTCCACAGGCCTACATGTGGGAAACATATAAATACGCCTCTGAGAATAATTAAGTTAATTAGATTCGAAATTCAAATAATTAAATATGTTAATGAAAAGAACTTACATTCCATATAGATTTCTCCTTTGATATCTCATTAATAAATGATTCATTGTCAAATATATTTGACAATTTTCAAATACGTAGGTACAAATATGTAAATGCTAAATACTTAGGTAACAACAACTAACTAGCCGGGTAACAAGTAACATCTTAGAATAACGAACTTCGTAAACTATGAGTATACGAATACGATAACTGTCGTAGACAAATTATGAATGAACGTAAATGAACGCGGGGCAATCGCAGCGTTTAAATGGTCCATATGTATTGAAACGCCGGAAATGCATTGGAAATACATTGGGAAAATAATGTTTAATTATAGCTGCAAATCGCGACCGAACGCACAAAATTAAACATGAGCGTTTCAGTGCGTTCGAACGCAACCGAACACGCGTCTCATTTACGTGTGTGAATGAATCCATATAAAAGTACATGTTTAATTTTGAGCAATTAAAGTGGATTACACACTAGGCGATTCGAACGTACGTCTCTGTGCGTTTCGAACGTCGCGATTAATCGCTTAAAATTTAACATGTACTAAAACATGTAACCTAACCATCGCGATGTACCCAAATTTGATATATGCGTCGTCATATTTTCTTTTCGGAGCTATATCGATAATCTAACACACAAAAAATCAAAAAAAGCACTAACGTTGACTACGAAATACGGGTACGGAGCCACTATTGCAAAAACGCATTGGTGATTAATAGGGCGCGGATTTTTATGTAATAAAAAAATATAAATATGTATTACAAAACGTAAAATATTTAACAAAAAAAAAATCGGTATTTTACATTAATGTTATATTATTAATAAATTATTTATTTGATCATCTTCATTGTTGTCTTCTTCGAAACAATTGGATACGACGTGCATTTAAAGATTTTCAAATTTTAATGTACGGCAGTTAGATTTCAATGTCAACTCATACTGGCTGAGGATATATTCAACGTTGACCGAGGTTAATGGGGCATATTTCGTATCACTTACTTCGGATGGTGTTACTTCAATATAATTTGACATTTTCATTTTTATTAATAAGATTATTTCTAAAATTTTAAATTTTTTTGTAAACCAACGTATTATCCAGTACGTAGTTTAATTCATTTTTATTATACCTCCGGATTCTCCTTGAACTTAATTTCATTGAATTTCTGAATTTTACACTATCGCGAGATTCTAAATTATTGTTAGATTTAATACTTCTAGTTTTTTATTATTTTAACCAAAAAAAAAAAAAAAAATTGTGGAAATATATGCTAAATTATTTTGCAAGTTATTATTTTATATAATATCAGAAGTAATAGTGATTGTAGTATCTGAATCAAGATTTGAAATATCTTCTTTCATTTAATTCCAATATAATAATTGTAAATTAAATAAAAACTGTATTGAAATTATATGAAAATGTGAAATATTTACAAAATATGTAATTATTGATGAAATATTTAAAAATATGTAAAATAAAAACACCCTATTCAGGGTGTTAGTATCTTATTTGTAATCGGAATTGAGAAATTCATATTCAATAAAATTATGTAATTACAAAAAATTCGCGCCCTAGTGATTAAATTTGTATGATATTCCATTTTGAAGATAACTTATTAAATTCTGCCGATAAATAATAATAGAAAAGATACAACATCTTAATATTATAATCTTAATGCCCAGTGAAAAATCATGATATTTAAGAATTTTAGAAATTTTTACAAATGCACCTCTGGTCATCTAACTTACCGGCATTTAACTTAGAAAAACTAGGAAAATGAAAATTTTTAAATATTTCTAAATTTTTCTAGTATGGCTGATGGACCACTTCACAATGTCTCACGGACAATAGGTTAGGACCTATGCCGTAAACTAACGAGCGTAAAATAAAACTCACAAAATTCATAATACGAGCGTACACTACTTTAAATAAAAATTAAGTCAGTGAAGGTGAGTATGTGAACAAAAATAATATAAAATTTTCATAATGACAATACGGTGACAAAAGAAACGCTCAGATTAATATTATCATATTGGTATGATGAATAATATTTGTATCAATAAAAGAAACCCATAGATCAATACAGCCGTATCGATAGGTCGACTAACATTTATAATAGTATATTGCATAGGTTCCCAAAATGTGCCCCGTGATGTCTGTATAGGGGCGCCGCGCCGTCGTGAAATACTATCGAGTCTAACATTTTCTTTATGATTAGTTATGCTATGACTTAGAGAAGGGCGCCCTGAAAAAACCTTAGATCAAAAAAGGCGCCTTGAGTCGAAAAAGTATGGGAAGCACTGGTATATTGGACAACTACCCCGTCCTTTAATTATTAATATTCTTTATTATATATAATTATTTTAATATACTTTATTTATATGATATTATTTTGTATAAAATAAAATAATAAAAATGTAATTAAAATTGAAAATTATTAAACGGTTAATACTCGTTAACTAATATATAAATAAATAAATAAATAAATAAAAGCTTAACCTGAAGCATTATTGTAATTGTAAAGTACGACTGGTTTATTGAATTAAAAATTTATCGTCAGGTACAGGTAAAGCGAATGAAATCACGACGCAATCCTACTAAATCGTCGTACTGTACGAATATAATAATAATTCGGATAAAGTTTTTATTTACTTCTATAATGTGTGTGGTCTACACCTAATAATTAATGTGTAATTAATATAATTAAATAATATAGATGTTTTATACAGCTACGGTGTGCCAATCTGCTGATTATTGTTTACTGCATGTGGTTTTCTCAAGTTTACTCGCGTGCATTATCCATAACATGTCTATGCATTGCCCGTAACAGCTCCTCGATCGAAACGCGTACATGGATCGTTCACATAACATTTTACGCGTTTCTTCGAAAACACTAGTTCGTGTCCGATTCTAAATACTATAAACGTAGAACTTCGGTGAAATGGCGATACCGCGTAATTAATAATAAATATTAATAATAATCGCGCCTAAATCGTTCACAACCGTTATAAACGGGTATTATGACCTATACGTAGCGCGCATTGGACGACGATATTTTTCGACGCACTATCTGTATCCGCGCAACACGTATTTTCACGCGTATCGTTTCGACCTAAGTATTGTTGAATCCTCGTACTCGTAATTTGTAAAATATTATTATCTATGTATACAATATATCATCGTATATGTCATGTTCACGACGTGTTACGTTTCGTCTATCGGATATTATGAGAATACGTGAAGAACCAATTATTATTATTATTGTTGTTGTTGTGTATTTTATAATCGCAGTCGCGTGACGGACTACAGAGCGCGCGCGCGCGAAATACTGATAATAGGTCGCGCGGACTATCGGATCATTCCGATCCGCGTTTTTACGCGTCTCGTCATCATTCGTATTCCTCGCTCCTACTCCGTCGACAACTCCCGGACTCTGTTGCTACCGCCGCCGCCGACGCCGCCGCCACCACTATCATCCGCCTGTCATCGTCAATGCCCGCGTTCGTACCGGTGATAATACCACGGTCGCCGTCTATTGGCGTTATCATTGCGGAACATTTCAAATAGGTAATCAATATTTATCGTAAGAATTCAATTTTTTTTTTCACCGCTCACGATTGATTCGAATGGCAAATGCAGCGCAATAGTGTTACGTTTGCCGTTCGCGTGATGTTGTTCGCCATGATGGTTCGTTCGACTGTCACGGTCGCATGACAATGAAATTCGGCTGACGAAACGTATATGCGTTGCGATCTCGCGACATAAGATCATTGGATATTCTCGAAGAGGTAAGAATCCACACACGTTATATGACTTTCTATTTATTCATTTCATTGGATTAATGGAGTTTTTTTTTTTTTGTTCGCGGTTTTGTCGCCGATATTTTCTCTAATTTAATTTTCAGTCAACGAATAATGAAAAATAATGGTTTAAGAATATCTTAATTTATCGTTATTAAAAATACTCAATACATATAACATTAAAAATGAACTTCATTCAAAAAATTATACTGCATTTTTAAGTTAGTTTTAAGCACTTGATAAAACAAATATTTTAGAAAAAAATTAGTAAATAATATGTATACTGATTTGTTTGATACTAATCAATGTAATTTTTTAGTTTTTACACCAACAAAATGTTTGGACACAAATCAATAGCTCTCGAATAGTAACTAATGATATATTATTGTAAGCCGTAAAACCGTTAACTCCAACTCACCTTCTACAGCCTATTCTTAATACTATTTTTAATTTATTGTTATTAAGTGTAAAGTGTGATTTATTATCAATCTTTATTTATAAATAATAAGATTTTTATTTAATGTTCTAGAGCCAATAAATCAATTTAAATTAAGTTTACTAAAAACTTTTTATGTATTCTCATTATTAAGAACATAATTTACCATCAGAGATTTTAATTCAAAATATCTATAGTCTTGCATTGATCAACAATTATATTAAATAATAATATAAACATAAAATTATTATTTGATCAATATATTTAGTATTTAATTATCATTTAACTAATATGCTAATGAGCCTAAAGTGATTTATGAAACTAAAATATAAATTATATTACATCTATAAATGACATTTTATGATTTGCAATCAATAATTTATTAACTGATACATAAAAAACACTTAAAATATATGTATGAGGTCAATAAAAATATCATAGTAACTATTTATTATTAAATAGACATATGATTGTTATAAATTATTTCAATTTTCGATAATTAAGATTTATAGGTTAATTAAATTTGTTAATATTCATGCATAATTTTAACAAATTAAATTCCTGTTTCCTAAATTTAATATTACATAAATAATAATTATCAATTTAGTTTATACAACATTTCTAGGTGTACATAATTTAATATATTGTAATTTAACATGATTCATGTATTAATAATAAATGCATTTTTTCAGGTTTCATTAAAACATGGAGGCTGTTCGAAAATTAACAAATATTAGGCCAGTGGCTCCAATAAATTTGGATATGATATTAAATAATTCTGTGAACTTAAAAACTAAACTACAGCTCATATCAAGAGTACATGATAATCTTGATGTAAGTTTATTATTTTATTTTAAAGCATAATACTTAAATAGTAATATACATTTTTATTTTACCTAATTTTCAGCAATTTGCCCAAAATCAAGTTTATTTTGAAAATATGATTATTATTGTTCTTAAAATGCTATCTAATACTGATCCAGTTTTCACTCCAGATCATGATGTTTTTGTAAGTGTTATTTATAATATTTGGTTAATATTTTTATGAAAACATACTTTCAAAAAGTTGTAACAAACTTTTTTCTTAAAATATTTATATTAATAAAGTAAAAATAGGTTTGTATACAAATTTAATACTAATGATATATTGAAAAGTTTTTAATTACAATTGGTTGATACAGATGCAATAGAAATATAACAACAAATTTATTTTTATATTTCTATATATTAATTTTATCTTATTTATTCTATTTAATTGTTTCTTCTATAAAAAATTATGAATATTTGATACAGTAATTATTATTGATATTAAAAATAATTTGTGATTTATTCTTGTGGCATCACATTAAAAACTTAAAATTTGCTATTGTGTTGAGAAAAGAGTTTAAATTTTAACAAAAATTTATATTATTAACATCTATTTCTATTTATGAGAGTTGCAATATGCATAATTCAAATGATACATGAGGGATAATAAATATATAAACTTAATTATTATTTATATTATTTAATTATATGTAGCTTGTAATTATTAATATTTGCATTTTATTTTTTTATAGAAATTAAGAAAATGTCTACTTCAAATAATTTATAAAATCTGTAGCAGCAGCGAGAAAATTAAAAATCATGTTCAAAATATAATGGATGCATGCTTGAAAGTTATTGAAACGGATAATGAACAATGTGTTATGTACTGTGTATTGATCTTAAAAGAATTATTAACTTCTTTTAAACCAACATTTGATGGTTGTTTCAAAATTCAGGTATACTTATATTGATTGTTTCTAAATCCAATAGTATCTTAAGTATATTTTTTATATAAATGAAAAATTATGTGATATTTATATGTAGTATTCAATTTCTTTTTCAGATAATCCAATTTTTAAAATTAATTTTTGATATATTTAATAATTCATCAACTACAGAAAAAATTTTTAACTTTCAAAAGACTTCTGATTTAAAAGTATTAATCAATACTATACGTTTGACTACTACTATTACAAAGAACAATATTAATGTAAGTATGAATATATATGTATATATTTTCTTTTTCCCATCTCAGACGCATATTCCTAAAATATTAATTAATAATGATTTATGTATTTCATATGGTTTTCATATTGATTTATATATACTTTATCTTATATAAGGGTTGTCCGTAAAATAAGGTTTCCAAGAAGCTGCAGACGCAATAAACGCGTGTATGTTAGTATCTCGAGCTACTGTGAATTTCTGTGTTCTTATCACTAATTCCCGACCACTGCCGAATCTGTGCGACACTCAGTCTTGGTTTGGCAGGTGTTAGAGATGGAGCTTCAAATTTCTTTGTCCGCCAGGTGCTAATTACGCTCTGTGATATGAATTTTGTGTGCAAAAACCTAGTGACATTCATTCAGTGTGATGTCTACGGAGGAAAGTATATGAGCTTACAACATGAGTGGTAATGGTGCAGAGAGTTCAAAAAAGTACATGCAGACGCCATGACGAACCGCATTGAAGGCCATCGGTTTCCGATGAAACAATTGCGAAAATGAAAGAAGCAATGCTGAAAGATCGAAGGGTTACGGTTCGGGAGCTCAGTGAAATGATTCATGATGTCAGAAAGACCTCCATTAATATAATTTTGAATCATTTAGGGTATGTCAAGGTTTGTGCTAGGTAGATTTCCTAGAATGCTTAGACATAGCCCCTGGTGACTACCATCTCTTCCCTGGAATAAAAAAAAAACACTTGGGTGGAACAAATTTTGGCTGAAAGAAGAGATTTTAATCTACCTTCGGAGCGCGGTAGGAGAGTTTTACCACTCAAGCATAAGGAAGATGGTACATCGATTGTAAAAATACACTGATCTCAATGTTGAATATGTATAAAAATTGGAATGATTTCTATAAATGTATCATTTAAAAAAAATAAAAATGTTTTTTACTGTGAAAAATCGCTGAAAACCTTATTTTATAGACAAGTCTAGTATATTTATTAATGAATTAATTTAATTAAAACTGTTGATTAAATAATTTATGTCATGTAAATTATTATATTATGATTTGTTGTATTATGTTTATATGTTTAATTAATTTGTTTTAGTATGTATTTATACCTATGGGAAAATTATCATCTAAAATTTTAAAAGAACTAGCTCTAATATTAAAAATGTATTATGGAATGTATCATGGTATACAGTCTTTTATGAAGGAAATAATAGAAAATTTTCCGATTCTTATGAATTTTTTCTGTTTAGACATACCTTTTAAGTAATTATTTTAAAATTAAATTCTATAATTATAATAATTTTTTTTAAATAATTATATTATATTTTATTTTAGACCTGATTACAGAGATATGGTAATAGATTTTAAGTTTGCTCAAATTAGGTTATTGGGTTTTTTTTCATTAATGATAAAAGACCATAAGGATGATATATTTCAACATTGTTCTTCATTTGCCAGTAAAGTTATTAGTTTGTTGAACTGTAATATATCAGCTGATGTGAGCGGTCTGCGAATAGAATTGCTTTCTGGATTTGAATCTTTAATACTTATTGACTATAAATATGGTATATATAAACTTATAATTTTTGTAACCATTATTGAAAACTATTTTTATATTAATTAATAAAAAAAATTTTTACAGAATTTGTACCATTTATGGATTCATTTTTAGATGAAACTTTAATCACTGGTAGAAGTTGGTCTTTAAAAAATGAATTAAGAACTAGAGCATATATATACATTGATCATCTTATTACTTATTTGCACAATCGATTATCATTGAATTTTCTTGTGCGTGTAGTTCATTTTCATTTTTCTAATATGTTAGATCCTACGCTTCAACCTGAGTGAGTTATTTGTATAATTGATATTAATAATTAACAAAATAACTTCATATATATATATATATATATAAATTGTATGAATTTATTTTTTCATAATATAATAATTAAGTTAACATAATTATAATACAAATGTTTTAAAGGTATTGAAGTTCCTATTTAAAAACTATTGAGCCAACTTTGTTAATGATAGTATATTATACTTAATCTAATATAGTGGATTCTGATTAATGTGGGAAAAATGGTCTAGTCCCTAATCCAATGTATACTAACAAGGTTAAAAAAAAATCGCATATTATGGGTACTTGGTTCAGTTTATGTAGGTAATATTTATTTTATCATAATGTTAGAATATGTATTAAAAACTAATACAATTGGGTTTTGTCTATGAGAATATGTTTATTAAAAATAATAAAAATGATTAACTTTTAAACTTTAATGGGATTTTGTTGTTAGTTTAATTAAATGTTATCAAGAGCAATAATAATAATAAAAAAATGTTAAAGTTGTTACTTTCTTTCCCTAACACAACAATAATCATTTCAGTTTCACTATGAATTTCAACACAATCGTGATTGTTTTAGACTACACTTTAAAAGAATTTTTCCCTCAGTGAAAAAAATCGCAATTTTAGATAAATTAAAGTATTTTCCTTTGGGCACTAACAACATAAAATTGTTGAATAATTATGCGTCTTGAAATTATATTATTCATTATTCTTTTGTATATTATTTATCTGTTAATGCAATTTAAAATTTTTTTTCCAATTTTATGACATGTGTGCAAACTAAAAACTTTTTGATACTAAAAATGTTGGTGTTTTTGAACCAAGTTTGGTTTATATGTTCGCTTAATGTGGACAAATGGATTTGGTCCTATTGTATCTACATTAAGTGGAATCCACTGTATTGCATATTGATTGAGCAAGCATTTGATCTTTAATATTTTTTTATTGAATGAAATTATACTATTATTTAACGATTGAAAAATAACTGATAATTATATTTTTATGAGTTATGAGTTGTTATAGTTATATTATAAATGTATATTATTTAATACTGTGTGATTTAATTATTTGCATATCTTTATTTTTAGCGTTCAAATAAATCTTATAAATATGGTTATGATTTCATTAACACACATAATTCAAAAACAAAATCATTTAATTACCAACTTAAATACAATTGAAAAGAATAAGAACCCTCTAATAGACATATTATTTAGAGTAATTCAGATTTTTGTTATCAAGTTAAAACAATTTCAAAAGTTTTATTTTCCTAAATTAAAAAAGTAATTTCTAGAATTTTTTCATTAAAATTATAATCTTATGTTATTAATTACAATTCTTTTGTTATAGTATTTCTCAAGAAAATATGAAAGAAAGTATTTCGTCAATTGTAGCTGGTAATTATAATATTCTATACTTAAGTTTATCTTTATTTATTTCAACTTAAAATGAATGATGTGAATAACAATTTAATATTTTATTTTATAAAACTTAATTTTAAATATTTATTTTAATTGAAATTAAAATAATTTTTTTTTAGAAAATGAAAAACCTACCAAGTTTGTTTATGGATATCATTTTTCACAAATACCTCTATATACCGTTGCAGATAGTCAACGATTTGTCACAATTATCATTTCAGCATTTAGACAAATATTTCAAATTATTGTAATTATATTTGTTTTATAAGAATTTAACAAAATTAAAAATAAATTAACGATTTTAGGTTAAAATTGAAGGAAGGCAATTTTCAATAGAATATTATAACAAGAAGTCATTTAAAATGTTTATAAAACATTCATTGTCATCATTAAAAGTTTTTAGTTGTCCCATTAAAAAAAAATTGATGATTAAAGAAATTCTTAGTGCTGTAAGTAGAGTATATTATAAACAATTTCTAATTGAAATGCATAAATGAATGAAGACTAGAATAATTAAGTAGTTGATGAACTCACAATAAAAAGATATTTAATTGTTTATATTTGAGTATCATATAATTTTTTTTATGTGTTTGTTTTTTTCAGATTTCATGTATTGATCCCATTTATTTAAAACTACTGCTTCTCGAAAATACCATAGTTAAACTGATCTATACTAATCAATTAGAAGCATTAGTACTTGACTTGGCATTGAATAATGATGTTTTGTTTCAAACTTTTAGTTGTGTTATTTTTGAATATATACTTAACAATTTATTGGTTGAAATTGAAAAACAGTGTATATTTGATTTGGTTAAAAGACTTCAATCAAATTTCAAATATAATAAAAATGAGAAAGTTACCTATGAATATTTATACAAAATTATTAAAATGTAATGTATTTTTTAATCATTGGATTTTAAACTTTTTCAACAAAATTAATATTATAATGAAATATTTGATTTTTGCTAGGTTGTTAAACATTATACAAAATACAAAATATCCTGTTTCTTATCTGGAAATACTAAAAACAATACTCAATATTGTTGAATCAATTAAGTATGATTATGATGAAAATATGAATACAGTACTTAAATGTTTGTTTAATGGTAATATTTTTACAATTTTTTGAATAAATTAAATAAATCTTGATTCTAATTTTATCAAATCTATTAAATCTTTATTATATTTACCATGTAATAATAATAATTTAATATAATATTTTACATTTTATCTCTATCAAAAATAGATAGTCTATATTTATGTATGTTCACTATTAAGATAGCCAATAGCAATGTCAAAATATATTATAAAATCCTTGTTTATAAATACAATTATTTAAAAGTATGATATTATACCGTCAATTACTGATTATTTGAAAGAAAAAATTAATATCAACATGTCAACATTGGATACATTTGTACATTTTTATATTTACTATAGATTTAGTGCGCTAAATGGGTACAATATTTTATGAAAACTGAATCCAAAATTTATATTTGTAGATTTTAGATAATTTTTAATCCTAAATTTATTAAACATAAAAAGCCTCTTATTAAACATTTTTTTAATCTAAATTTTTATGTTTACAGATTTATTTGTGTACCATCAAAGTTTACCAGAATCTTCAATTGTTTTAAAAACGACTTTAGCAGAGTTATGTTTAGCTGAATGTGTATTTAAAGTGGTGTTTCAATCTCAAACAATAAATATATTGTCTGTTATTGTATATTCATTATACATACCTGAATTAACTCCTCAAGTAAGTTTATATCTAGTTATATTAATTTAGTATTTCAAATGTTATGCACCAGATAATATTTATAGCTGTATGACATTATTAAAAAAATAAAATAATTGTTAAGTTAATTATATATTTTTTTTTTTAACACTGGTAATGTGAGTAGTAGTGGTTTAAAAAATCATAATTTGACTATGATATAAAGGAGTAGTATGAATATTCTATTGTAGTAAAGAAATTATGATCAATTTGTGTATAGTTGTTATTTGTGGGAAATATTTTAATAATTTTAATATATATATATGTACAATTTGCAAATAATTAACTATATATGAATTTTTAATTTAAGAAAATAATATTTTTTTAGATATACAGTTTGTAAAAAATAATTTGATATTATAATATAAACAGTAGATTCTATAACACATATTTCTGAATAATGAATTTGTTATATTGCATTTATACTTGAATATTATTTATTTTATAGGGATTTGGTATTTTAGAAAAATGCTTAAATATTTTACCAAATTTTTTTGATAATGAATCTGTTGTTCATGTTAGAAATGACATCAGTAAAGGATTGTGCCATTGTTTAAGTAGTCCTATTGAGTCAATTTCACAACCAGCCATTAAGTGAATTTTATTTAATTACTAAGAAATGTTTTAAGTGTTTTTGTTTTTTCATGAATATGTGTATTTTTCAGTTTACTTGGAAAGTTTGGGGGTTTCAATAGAAGTGCAATTGTGAAACCTTATTATCTTAATGCTCAGAAACAATTCAACAATGTTTCTGATAAACCTAAATTATATGTATCATTTGAAGAATATAATGATCAATCAATAGAAATTTATATTGCACCAGTAAGTTTTGTATTAGTTTATCATATTGGTTTACGTATATTATACATGTTTTGTAAGCCTATGATAAAATAAAGTGATAATATAAAATATTATAGTTTTATAATAATTATCACTAAATATTTACTTATTATATAATAATAATAATAATTTTTGATTTAATGAGTACACCAATGTTGAAATAGTTAAATTATGAGATTAAATATTATTATTATTACTTTGCATTAAATTTAAATTGAATTTACAAAAAAAAATCTTAGGAAAATTTACAGATGAAAAATTAATGAATAATTTATTATTAATAATCTAATAATATAATGATAAATATAATTATAAAAATAACTATAGAAATTTTAAATTTAATAATTTTTGAATACCACCTAAATGTTATTAGTAAAAATCTGATGTTAATGACCAAAATTTCATTAAAATATGCATTTAAAAATTTCAAAATATGTAAATATATGCCTCTAAATATATCATATATACCTGTTTTTGAACAAATAAATGCAAAAAATATACGCAAAAAAGGTATTAATATTAATTTAAAATAAATTATAAACACTATTAAATATAGAACTAATAGTTTTGGTTATTTGATATACTCATATTTAAATAATTATTCTTATTAAAACTTATAGAATTATTTTGTAGAGTACATCTTGTAAAATATGAATTTGGAAGCAATTTTTTTATTTCATATAAAAATTGATCCTAAGTATTTGTAAATCGAATAATATTCCAGATAAGAACTTTATTTTAAATTTATAATAATTTTTTACCTTATAATATTTAATTATTATGTAGTAGAAGTATTTAACACAAAGTATTTATTTTTTTTTTTGTATATATATATATATAATATTATAAATATTTATTTTAATACATGATACAGGGTTTGGATGCTGCAATTGAAACATTAATGACAAAGTCTGATAGATTTCTTAGAGCCCACAGTTGGGATGTCATAAAAGGGTTCTTTACATTATCAATGGATTATGATAATAATAATATTATTAAACTACTATCAAACATCAAGTATAATATTTAATTTAATTTATATACATATCATTTTCCAATAATAATTATAATGTGGTATTTTTATGTATAATGTAATAATTTAACTTCCATTTAAGATCTAATCTGTTGAAAGCAGTTCATTTTACTTTTTATACTATATAATTCATGTCCAAGTTATTGGTAAATTAAATATTTTTAAGCTAATGTTTTATTATCAATATTTTCATTAGATGAATAAAAGAAGGCAATCAATAATTCTGTGATGATTTAATTTCACATTATTCCAACTGTTAAATAATTTAAACAGTTATGGTTCAAATCATAAGTTAATAGACTTTTTATAATCTATTAATATTTGTAAATTTTCATATGAATTTTAAATCAATCTGGTATTAATCTTGAAGATGGATTTAGGAAAAATATTAATGATAGTTAAAAAACTTTCATACATAAAGTAAAAGAAATATTTGGATTCCATTGAGTTTAACAGATTTTAGTATTCGATTTTTAAATTTGGAAAATTATATAATCATATATTTACATAATAAATGAAATGTTGCATGATTCTATTTTGTATTTTTCATTTTCAGCTGGGAAACTTTTAGAAAAATATCAAAACTGGAATTAAATTATAGTAAAACATTTATAGATGAAACATTTATTAAAGCTTTAATTGGTAACTTACAATGTTTTTAATTTGTTAATTGATAAATTATTTTATTAAAATATACTATAAAAATGAAGCATTCGTTAAACTAATAAACAATTTACTTCTTAGGATTATTAATTTGCTGTAATGATGAATACATGAAAATGGATGCTATTAATTATTTTAATATGTTCACCAAACGGTTTATGCATGTTTCTATTTGTTACTTCTATGATATTTCATGTGGACGATCTTTAGAAGTTCATCCATTCACTATATGTGATGCCATTTCTTTTATATTATCAAATGAAAATGAATCAGTTTCTGACTTTGGTGAATTAGCAATAGAAATAGTTATTGATGAATTGTGTAGTATTTTAGGATATAATGTATGTATTCATAATACCATGACTTTTCATTATGTACTGAAAAACTAACATTTATTTTTATTTTTAGATGATTAATTACCCTCTTATAACTTACATGCTAAAACAATTTTGTGAGTATTGCTATGACCCAAATTGGATTCGTAAACTTGGTGGTTGTTCTGGAATCCACATTTTGTTTTCAAAAATATTTAAGAAACAATCTGATGCAAAAGAATATTCCAATTGGTTTATTAAACATTTTGTTGATGCATTTAGAGCTACACTGTTTATATTTTCTGATTTGCGAGGAAATGTACTATTTTTCATATAATTAACTTTTATGAAATTATTGTTAATTAATAATTTATTTGTTTTAGTTAACATTTGGTACCTTGGATATAGCGAGAAAAAATTTGGACGCCATGTTACACTGGTTTTACTTGATTAAACCATCCAATTCATTTCAACATTACTTCCAGAAAACTATTTTGAAAGAGCTTACTAAAAACATAATAAATCCAAATGATATACTAAGGGAACAAGTTAGTATTAGTACTTGTATTTATTAGAATTTTTAGTGAAGTATTTTTTAGTTCCTATTATCATGTATTTTATTTTTAACATGAGTTCATTTTTGTTACAGTCAATAAAATTGATCTGCATAATAGCAGAAAAACAAAACCAAACTGTATCGCAGATTTTAACCCCATTCTATAAATATATTATATCAGTATTACCAGGAAATAGATTATTTAATACATATACTTTTAAATCTCAAATGGGCATTATGAAAGGGCATATATTTTGTGCATTTCATTCTATACCAGCAGAAAATTTGGGTTGGTTTTTTTAATAGTTTTATAATTTACGTAAAATATTAAATTATTTGTATTTTTTTGTTGTAATTATAGATTTGTCTAAAACTACACATAAATATTACTTTGATATATTATGTACAATATGTAGTGACAGTATTAAACGAGTTTCTAAAAATAATATGATTAAATGTTTAACATTTGACGAGTTAGTTGAATATCGGCAAACAGCCTTGCAAGTTTTGGTTAATTGCCTACATTTTTTGAAGCAACAAGATAAGATAAAAGTATTTCGAATACTTTTGAATGAACTAAAAAGTTCTAATTTAAAAGTTCAAGAAGCAGCTTACCAGTGTTTAAAATCATGTAATTCGAAAATGTTGCTACAATTAAATATGGTAAATTAAATATAATATATTTTAATATATGTATATAAACGAATGCTTACAAGTTTTAATATTTAAAAATGTTTATTGTTTGTTTAGGTGGACAAATTAATATTTTATTATACAGATTTATTTGAAGATCATGATAAAATAACCTTGGTAAATATTCGTTTTATTTTGTTTTTATCAAAATTATTTCCATTGTGTCCAAATTCAAAATTATGTACTGTATTATTAAATGCATTTAAATATATATGGAGTTATCTTAAACAATGCGAAAATAGTGAGTATATAATACCAAAAAAATTAATATTTATCATATATGTATTATTTATTATATATGTGTGGGTTTTATATGTTGAAAGTAATTAAATAAATTTTGTTTAAATTAGCTATATTTTCTATTTATCATTTTGAGTATTTTATTTTTTAAGGAACGTCCAATGATCAACTTAAAATTGCAGAGAACATATTAAAAGTGATTTGCTTTGTTAAAAATTCACAGTTTTCTCATATTCAAGAGATCTGTGAAATTATTTTGAATGACGCGATTATAGACATAGAATTATCTAATCGATTACATCCACTGTTGACCAATTGTTTACTTAAGTATCCCGAAAATAGTGTGGTAATTTTTTTTCAAGAACGTCATATCAAGGTATAATATTGTAATTATATGAAACTATGGTATGGAATTTTTGAGTTTATTGTTAAATAAGTATTTATTTATCTTTTAGAATTCAATTTGGTGCTCATTTTTTAATTCAATGTTACGGAATGAACTTTGTAAACCCTTGAGAAATGTGTTGATATCAAACTCTCTACGTCTCGAAACCTTATTGATGTCTTCAAAAAATGGTTATTATTAATATTTATTAACATTTTCATTTTTATTCAATTGTCTCATCTTATGTTACCATTAGATATTTAACTCTAGCAACTTTTAGAGAAGATCAACTATATATTTTTTGATTATTTACATTTTAAATTTAAGTTTTCTGTTGTAAAAGTGAGCAGTAAAAACTAAGCAAGACCATGCTATAAAAAATTATTTTTTTTATATTTTTTTTAATTTAAAATTAAAAATAAGTCAAATTGAAATTAGTGATAATTATAAATTTAACTTAAAAGGTTTACCGAATTCGGAAATAAAAAACTATCAGCATTTTTCCAAATATAAATGATAAATTATTTTGTAGAAGTAAGTATAAGTTAAGATAATATTTTTTCAAAATCATGTTATGATCAATTAGCTGGTGTTTGTAATGTTATCATAATCAAAATACTTAATTATTTAATTAATATTAACTAAATACTAAAATTTGTTAATTTTAATTTATTATTAAATTTACTTCATAAATTATTTTTGTTAGTTTAATGAGCTTTATATAAACTCGTTGACAGCCCTATTTTAACTTATATATGTTATAGGTCGTTAATAATATTTAGTTCATTTTATTGTAATATACAGTATGTTTTTTTACAGGATATAATTTGAAGTATATATTTTTAATTATTTTTATTTTCAAATTTAGACCCAACGAACACTATTCAATATGAAAGTATAAAAATTGTTTATAATTTGGTGCACATGGAAAAAAAATGGAAATGTTCAAAAAAATTAATCAGTTTATTATTAAATATATGGACCAATCCTCAATATAAAGTAATTTTGTATATTTGATTTCATATTTTTGTAGGAAGAAAAAATAAAAGTTTTATTAGAATTTTTTAATTTTATTTGTCTTATGTTCAATTTTCTTAATGTTATAAAGTTATATAATTATTACTAGTGTGTAACATTTTTATCTATAAATATCAATTTTTTTCTTTATTATATTCTTGCATTCCGGTCAGTGTGTACTGGCTAGTGCAACAAAAGTATAGCACAATCAATTGGGCAGTTTCTCAATCAATTTATTTAATTAATAGACATGAAATAATGAATGAATTATAAATAATTCTAAGTCCAAAACATTTATTCATGAAGTAAATTTAACTGGCATAAAGATTCTTGCTAAGACTGGACTATAGCAGATTTGAATATTAATGTTCAGGAATACCTTATATACCCCGTTTTTGTATGATACTTTTGTTCTATCGAGTGATTAATAGACTTGTCCCAGTTATGGTCTGAGTAATGCTATAATTAAAATTTCATATTTGCCATTTATTATACATTTTATATTTAATATTCTGGTTTGCTAAAATATATGTTGGTCTAAACTACCTATTGTAATATCATAGATACTATTGTATACTAAAGTGGTTGGCCTCACGACTTCTGCAAATCACATTAGAAACCTTTCCCATGTTACCATTGTGTGACTTATATTTATGTATTATGGAAGTATAATACAATTTTATACTGGTGCCTATAAATAATAATTATAATAAGAGTTGTTTTAATACTATTTATTAGGTGATAATAATTCTTACTTTTTTGTATGTCTGTTACATTTTAAAATTATTTGTTCTAAATAATAATACTTCAATGAAAAACATTTGAAATTATTTAAAATTAATAATTATTAATTAATTATCATTTGATATACTTTTTCATTATATTATTTGAGTATTTTGATATTTAAAGTAATATAAAATATTTGACACAAAACCATAAAAGGAATACCTTGTACTTGATATATTCTGTTGATGTTTCTTATTTCTTCAACTTAGACATTTAAAGAAAAATCTTCAATTTGAACCATGTAATGGTTTTTCCTTATTTTGTATTGCTATTTTCTTGATAACTAATTATATAATTTTTTTAGTAACATTGCATATATATTATTAACATAATTTCTATTTATATAGGTGGTTAATATTAACATTTATTTTATACTTAGGTTTAATTAAATTTTTCTTTTAAAGGAAAGATTCAAAAATTTAGCTAACATAAAATCAACAGAATGGAATGAGCCTAAAATGTTAATAAAAATTGTATTAGCATATTATAAACAAAATTTTGATGAAGTCTTTATACTATTCCAAATACTTCCAATGTTTTCAAATCGATATCCATTTGATATAAATGTAAGTTTGTTTTTGATGTATTACAAATATTATCTTATACATATAATTTTAATTTTTATTTTATAGTTTTTTAGATTATACTTAGAAAATAGTGTAATAAAGCCATGCACTGTTAAATGGACAAGATTGGCTTTTTTTAAATTTATTGATTTATACCATAAGAAATCAGTAAATTGTGATATATTGGGAAGAATACTTCAATTCATAGTACTACCATGTTTTTCATTGTGTATTGAAAATGGTCAGAGAGAGCAACTATTATGTTCATTGACAAAATCAGAAGATAACATAATTTCAGTAATCATAAATAAAGTAAGTACTTGCTTCACAGTACAACCAGAAGGGAAACTGTAAAATATTTACATGGGTTCTTATGGCCGCCAAAAAAAGGTCAGACTTTTTGAAATTTGCCCAGGTAACCATGCTATTAGGAAATTCTTATTATTGTATGAGATTTGATCATACTGTTAATGTAACATATTAATGATAATATTGATATTCTGTAAAATAAAATCTATTGTAAAGTTAAATAAGCACAATTTTTTGATTATTATCAATTTTTTTCACACCACAGCACAAACAAAATATTCTTTAACTTTCATTAAGTTGGTACTGCATGAGGATAAAGCCTATTCTTTTGAAAGTTGCTTAACATATTATTCTTACAATGAAGTGAACACAACTTATAACTTTTCACAAGATCACTAGTGACTGTGGTTGGTAAACAGGATTACATTTTTCAATCCACAGAGCCCATCTTAAAAATCACAAAATAATACATTATTATAAAAGTGATGATTAGAGCAAATATTTCTTACTTTATAAGATCTTTAGGGAAATTAAAAAACGATATCTGATTTCCCACGGCATTCTTGTTGTACACGGAATGGCAATTGTACAGTGCACATTTTATACCACTATTGGAACTTGTCATTTTGAAAATTATAATTTAAATAAAAATAATTTTCAAAGTATAAATAATTTTCAGTAACGTTAAACAGTTGTGAAAAATTAAAAAAAAACTTAGAAAAATTGGTAACAGAGAAAACGCATGAGCAGAAAAAAAATGGCAGTTTGGGGAACTTTAGATGTCGGTTTTATACTTAAATTTTTATTAAGTTATAACATTCTATTCGTTCATGGATTCTTTTTAAGTCCATCTTCCAAAAGCGGAAGTTTGGTGACCTATCAATTGACGTTGGCAACAATCTCTTTCCAAAGTTCACGGTTTTCTGCCGATCGAATGGCTTCTTCCAGGGGATAGCCAGTGATGGTTTTGATCTGGTCTATCCAACGCATGGGTGTTCTTCCACGACTTCTTTTTCCTTCTATTTTTCCTTCGATCATCATCTTCTCCAGGCTCAATCCATCCCTTCTTATGATGTGGCCAAAGAACCTTAGGATCCTCTGCTTACACACCACTGCCAGTCTTGTTTCTACATTTAGCACGGCCAAAATTGAGGAGTTGGTCCTCTTTTCCTTCCAAGAAATTCTCAACATCCTCTTGTAGGCCCACATCTCAAAGGCGTTTATGCGTTTTACATCTTCTACATTAAGTGTCCATGTTTCGGATCCATAGAGCATCACTGAGAAGATAAGTGCTTTAAGTAGTAGCTACTTGCTGTTCCTGGAGATATGATTATCTTTCCAAATTGGTGTTAGCCTGCTCACTGCTTCTCTCCCAAGTGTAACGCAACGCCTTATCTCTCTGAATGATCCGCCATCTGCTTGTACAATTGAACCTTACATAAACTCATTCACTTTTTGGTAGCCGTTCAGTAAATTGGTGTGTGGTAATACTCCTGCTCGATCTATAACCCATAACCTTTGTCTTGTTTCTGTTGATTGTCAGTCCATACTTGTTGCTTGCTTCTTCAACACGCTTTATTAGTTGGCTCATCTCCGGTTCAGACTTGGTACATAACGTGGTGTCATCCGCGAAACGTAAATTGTTGATCTTTTCACCTCTGATACCCACTCCACCATTCCATTCTTGGAGTGCCTCTCTCAATACTACTTCACTATAGATATTAAAGAGGATAGGTAATAGAATGCACCCTTGTCGAACACCCTTGGTAGGATGGAATTGATCTGATACTGCATCTTGTGTTCTGATTACGACCTTCGATCCAGTGTATAGATTCTTGATTAAGTGGATCATATGTTCAGGGACTCCCATTTCTTGCATAAAAGTCCATAGTTTCCTCCATTGTATACAGTCATGTTCATGGATTAAATGAGATTAATTCCATGAAATTTTGTAAAGGCACATCCCTGATATGTTAGAAATGTCTGCAAATAGAAAAAGTACGAATACTGCCAAAAATGTTATACCAGTATGGTCTAATCTCATAGAATAATGGAAATTTTCTACTAGTATGGTTACCTAGGCAAATTTCAAAATGTTGGGAGTTTGCATTCTGGTTGTACTGTGCTTGCTCTTGCAAATACAAAAATTAAGAGATGATTGTATACCAAAGGTTGATCTAAAAAAATACTTAAATTATTATTTAATTGAAATATGTGGATTTATATGAATATTAGAAATTAGGTAATTAAAAACTAGACTATTATGTATTCAAACGGTACTCACAAAATATATTAATTTGAACGATTCTATGTATTTAATAAAAATAACATTTTTTAATTTTATATTTTAGGTTTTTCCCAATATTCGTATGGTATTATCTGGAAGTGATCATGATGGTCTTAAAGTATTTTTGTGTCAATTAATATGTATATTAATTGATGATTTACTAAATTTCAATGATACTGTTTGTGACCTCATTTATAATTCTGTGATATCATGTACATGGATTAGATGTACAATGGACTTAAATGTTAAATATCACTGCTATTTGATTTTAACATTTATAATGTTGTCTAAAAATGCTGCAAAAAGAGAAAAACTGAACAATGGTTAGAAAATTAAGTTATAGTACTTTTTATTGTCCAATTATAAATAAAATAAAATTTTACATTTTGTATCCACGAGAGTTTTAATATTAATTTTTACAATTGTTTTAGGTATATATTACGAGCTCATAAAAGCTAGTTTTGTGGAAGCCTTACCAGTTATTAATTATTCATTAGACTTAATAGTTTCGACTGTTTATGATAAAAGTTCCACTGATATCCATACATTTGCTGTATGTATGAAAAAAATTATGTTGTCTGATCCTCAAAATGTACCAATATTAAGCCATATTTGTTCATTTGTAATGAAATATAATACAGTAAGTTTAATATATTAAGTTTTATAAATACTTATTAAATTAAAATTCAATGGTTTTAGTTGTTTTACCCATGCAAACCATATTTATTAAGAAATCTCTTAGGATCATTATTTCCTATTGCAAAAAATAATAATGTACCAGATTACAAAAAAATAGCCATTGATTTATCTTGTATGATTATTAAATGGGAACTTACAGAAAATGATGGAAATTTGGTATTTAATTAAAAAATTTTCGTTTTTAAATTATGTGTTCAAGTATATTTTTTTATGTTTATTTTACAGAAATTAAAACTTCAACAAAAACGCACAACTGATGATATTCAATCAACAGTGTCTCAAAAAAAAAAATCATCTGAAGCTATTGATAGTTGCCTGAATTTTTTAGCAATGGTTGGATGTCAGGTACCATAATAAATTAGTTATTATCATATACATTTTAGTTTAATTAATTGTTGTTAAAATTTAGACATTTGATGATAAACCAGAGAGCAGAATTAGTAAATTGGCATCACGCAGTGCAACATTGTTTAAAACTATATTGTCCACAGAACCAATTGATACTATAGAAGTAAAATTAAAATTTGGATGGGTAGAAAAACTTTTAGATACCTTTATTAAAAAAGAGAAACTTGTCAAGCAAAATCCAAATGCACATGGTAACACCAATGCAAGTGTGATGAATGTATTAACAACATTTGATTTAATTTCGTTTATGTTAAATGTTCTATCTCCTAAATTAATGTTAGAAGCTATTAAACCTCTTCAAGATCTACTAATTCAATTTCTACAATTATCACTCAATGAAGTAATTTAATTATTCTCAATTAATGCATTACTTGTAATTATAAATGCTTTGTATGCTTTGTCTAGGAATCTAATAATATTCATTCTAATCAGAAGGATAATTTTATTCAAAATCGACTTACTGTATCACAAATAAGACAAGTTAGTTGTGTTATTATAATTTATATAGTATTATCTAGTTAGTAACTAAATACATACTACTGATAATAATATATTATATTTCATTTTGTAATTTACAAATTAACTAACTAGTTAATATTTAGTGATTTATTAAATTACAATATATTCATTTTATTGATATTTTAATTTTATTATATTTTATTTTTAGTATAATGAAGGAACTATAAAAGTAATTTCTGAAATTTTAAAAACCTTCTCCACAAATGATGGATTAGAAAAATTGCATATTTATATCCAAATGGTATGAAATTTTTTTGATTCACATTTATAATGTAATTTATAAATATTATATTTATTATAGATTATCTCAGATGGCTTAAATAGTAATTGTCCCATAAAAATAGATGCCAGCTTATCACTATTAAAAGTTTCATTAATACATTTTTCGAATTACATGAATAGTGATATATTAAATACTATTGGAGATATATTGTTTAAATTTAATGAAAGTAAGTAAATACACATTTAGTATGTAAATAATATTTGTGTGAATTTAATTATTGTTGTTAAAATAGTATTTAATAATTATTTTATGTGATTTTATTTAGATAATAAGAATCCTTTGATTAAAATTAAATGTTTGGAAATACTTAAAACTCATGTCGACACTTTACAACGTGGTGGGAAGCAATTGTTTATTGAAAAAGTTGTTATGGAATGTTTGGATAAGGCAAGGGATATTGAAAACAATATTCCATTTGAAGTACAAGTTAAATGTTTTGAAATTATAATTACTTATATAAAAGATTTACCTGAAGCAACCGAAGGAATATTCTTAAATAAAATCATTTTGGAGTATATAAAAACTACAACAGATGAACGAATTATGAGGACAATTTTAAATGTAATTTAATGAATTTATATTTATTTTCCTTTCCCTATCATATTTGAATATTATTTTTTAGGTGATTAAAAAGTGGATTGACATTTGTAGAGATGAATCAGTATTTTTCAACTGTCAAGTAATTAAAATTTTAAAATGCATCACTATTCTTAATCATTTTCCAAAGTTTACAGAAACTTGTTATGAATTGAATTTAGAAATTTTCAAGTAATTAATTTGAATTTATTTTATTTAATAAGTGTTTTATTGTTAAATTCCTAAATTTCTAATTTTCAGGAATTGGAATTTTAGCGAGTGTATTGAGTATGGCTTAGACTGTAAATCTCCGTCAATCAGAAACAATTTTTTTGATTTGTATGAGAAATTTTGGTGTAAAAATGGATTATGTATGAGATTGTATACAATTGTGTCTGATCATTTAAATTATGATTTAGAATATTCAATTGCATTATATGTTCAACTTTTATTTGTAAAGATATCTAAAAATATGAATCCCCAAGGAAATTTTCGTTTGATAGATAATAAGAAATTACCTGACTTTAATGAATCTGTATGATAAATGTAATATTTTTTCGTTATTTTTATTTTTATATATTCATTTTTTTGTAGATTTCCATTTCGGAAGAATGTAATTCTTCAGAGTTGTGTCCATTAGCAAGAATTTCAATGTTTAATTGGTGTTCCGCTTTGGTACAGTTGAGTTTTGTTGATTTTAATCTAGCTAAACATTTGTGGCTATCAGTATTTCCAGGCATTTGGAAATTATTTAATGATGACCAAAGAACATTATTATCTTCAAAAGCAGTTAAATTCTTAGCAAACAGCAAATTAAAAAATAGTTTTATGACAACATTTTATGAAGCGATTATTCTTTGCAAACCAAAAATTGTTTTTGAACCGTATGTTATTTTTTTGAATACATTTTATCATAGTAAAATGTATTTTACATTTTGTATTTTTTTTTGTTTTTAGGTACCAAATGGTATACATTGGAAAAACATATAATTTATGGTATTTAATCATTAATGAAATGGAAGATATATGTGAATATTATGAACACAATAAAAAGAATGTTAGTGATATAAATGAAAAATTGATATTTTTTTTATGTTAGTTTTATTTAAGTGGCTTTTTTTTAAAGTTATTCGTATAATTTTTCAGGAAGCTGTTGAAGGAATTATTCAGATGTATTCTATGTTACAAGAAGAAGATATGTTAGAAAGTATTTTTGAAAATATTATTGAATGCAAGGATACTAAAAAAGCATTTTCTCTTGAACAATTAGGATGTATTGAAATTGCTTCACAAAAGTATATTGAACTATTGTTTTCTGAAAAACAGGTTGCTATAATGAACACAACCACGTCTCATATAAAAAATGATGAATTTAAACGTATTCGTCTCACTAAGTAATGAAAATATTGATATTATTTTTAATTATGATTTATTTTACATTATTTTTCATTATTTAGGTGTTTGAGAGAACTTAATGAATGGAATTTATTACATGAAATCAGATTAGATGGTACTAATATTTTGTTGAATATTGAACATAGATGGAAAATATCAATTGAAAACTCGACTTGTAGTTATAATGATTTAAAATGGTATTTAGAACATAAACAAAAAATTTGGCCATCTTCATTAATTTGGAAGGTGATTTTAAACATACTGTATCTAACAATTATTTTAGAATTAATATTTCATAATTTTAAGAAAAATTATTTTTGATTCTACTAAATATATCATATGTTTGATATTTTATGTTTAAAATATATATCTAAGATTTGGTTTGTAATGTTACGGACGCACTTAGCTGTCCAAATGTAAATAAATTAAATTAATGCACAAGTTGTTAAAAGGTCACTTTGAAATGTATTTAGTGCACAATTAACAAAAGAAACGATTTTATTACTAAAAAGAAATATAATTATATAAACTTTGTATAATGTTCTGTAATGTTCTGCTTGACGATAATGCTTTATGTCTATCCCCGGACTGACTCGTTGGGTTTAGGGTATAATATATATTTTATAAATATACTAACTAGCTGACCCGACAAACGTTGTTTTGTTGTATTAATTATTTTAAAAGAATATTTTGCTAGAAAAAAATAACTAATTTAATATAGGTGTGTAAGGATGTGGTATATAAGTGAAAGAGGTATGGAGTGCTGTGAACGGTGACGAAATATAATAATGAAAAAACATAAAATGTTTATTTTTTAATAATTTATTAAAATTGATCCTTTAAAGTTTTATATATCGCCAATTATGACAATATTCGTATTAGTATAAAACAATATCAATCCCTTAATCCAACATATTGTACAATATTTTTTGTCATCCCATCTTTCGCCAACACAAACTGGATGGTACGAGAGCACGCCACGTATAATTGTCCGTGTGAAAACCATGATTTACTTAAATCTAAGCCACAGACAGACATCGTTTGGCCTTGAGATTATTGATAGTCATTGCAAATACCAATCTAATTGGAAATTGAAGACGTTTAAATTGTATTGGTACATCTGTGGGTATAATAGGGATTCGCGGTAATAATATATTTTCAACTCGGAATTTGTCATTTAAAATGATGGCTTCGATAACATTTTTCATTAATTTTTTAATGACTAATTGCGTTCCGTTGCACAACCGTGGTGGGTTCAAATTACGAAGCAAAATAACTGGAGATCCAACCTTCAGTTGTAAATTATGCGGTGGCATGCCTGGTAAATATAATGAGTCTAAAAATTGGTGGATAATTTACAGCTTCAGTAGCATCGCAAACTGTATTAATAAATTTGTATGACCCCAAGTCTCCTGGTAACAAATATTGTATCTTGAGATTCAATTCATTGACGTCCACATTTTTTGCTGTTAAAATTGCTCTTTCTGCCAGCCAGTCATGATTTGTGTATTGTCTGTGTACATTAGGAAATATCTAGTCAATGAGAGCATCTTGTGAATCAATGATTTTGTGGAAATCGGTCGGTAACTGTATGCATCCCGTTTCATCTGTAGTAACTTTCCCACCACCGATATCTAACAATTGTTTTGAGAATCTTCTGCACGCAGCTTTTTTTCATTGAATCGCAAGTATCGTAATCGTTCGCTCTCTATCTTTACATAAATGTCGATCATGAATTGTTGACAAAGCTCACGATATCGTAGAATAACGTTGTCCTATTCGTCTCTCATCATCAACCGATATGCAAAATAATCCTTCGAACTAACATTCTTGTTTGTTTTGAGACTTGTTGCGGGATCTTGTTGTTTAATATTTATGCAATACCCGTCATTTAATACCAAATATAAAATGAATAGTTTTTAAATAGTTTTTAATAATTTTTTAATAGTACCTATCATTTAATAATTTATTTTCAATTGCGCAGAGTTATCGACCGGGTTAAAAATTATTAAATTAAACTACGATTTATTAAACAATAGCACTTAGGAGTATAAAAAATAGATTAAATTCTATTTGCAGACCTACTAAATGTTTATAAAAAATGTCATTAAAATCTGTTAAGCCATTTTAGAGGAGTATGGTAACAAACACTGTGACACGAGATCTTTATATATATATATATATATATTTATATAAATAATCTAATTTATTTTTACTTGTCTTTTTAGTATCATTTTTATTTGGGTATGTTCGGTTTAAATGAATTAGATCAGCAAGTTACATCTACAGTTCAAGAACATGTTGAAATTGCTATTGAAGATATTGTTAATAAGTGGAAAGTATTACCTAAGCATTTATGTAAAGCCCATATTCCTTTACTTCAAGCAACTCAATTGGTTAGTTGGGTTAAAAATATACCTTATTGTAAAAATTATTATTTTTCATTAGTTATTACTTTTTATAGATAGTTGAAATACGAGAGGCTAATAACATCCAAAATAGTTTTTTAAATTCACCTCAAAATATTAATAACACTGAAATACTTATTGGTATTTGGAATAATAGAAAACCATGGATTGGAGATAATTTAAGTGTGTGGAATGATTTGATTTCATGGCGACAAACTTATTATTCTTTTTTAAAACAACGTCATAATTTATCAATGCGTTTCATAAAAAATGCTCAGGTAAATTATTTACAATGTTTTAGCCATGCTAATATGAATTTTGTATACCATTAAAAAATTAAAATTTTATTTATTTTCAAATTCTGACGAAATAAATGCAAACATTTTCAAATTTTAAGAATAAATTTTTTATATTTGAAGAGAATTAAGCTTAAAAATGTCTTTTTAAATTTTTTTATTTCGATAAAATCTTTAATTTTGCTTTCTTTTATTTATAAAATGGTTATTCTACTACTTAAAAGTTTTATAATGTACAGCTCGAAAATATTTTTGAAAACAAAAAATAAACTTTAATCCTTTTCTATTTTTCAAAAACTTAAGTTTATAATTATAATCTCCAGAATAAGAATCTATTATCTATTATCTATTTTTTTCAAATTTATTTAGTTACATGCTTTTAGTTTCATGTTAATATCCATGTCATAAAATGGTATAAGATAATATTAGTTAGATTATAATTTAATGTAACCATAATATTTAACAGGATCAATCAAAATTAATGTTTGGAGATATTGCATTAAAACAGAATATACTTAATGTATGTATCAAAACTCTAAATAAAATAGATCTAAAGAATGTTGATACATCCAATTTGTTGTATAGAATGTACTTGGAAGGAAAATATGTACAGAAATTGAAAAAATATAACGAAGTTTGTATAATTATATTAATAATATTATTTTATTTATTGTTACTACTTTAAAAACTTCATTTAAAAAATGTCCCAATAGTAGAAATCTCACGGTGGCAAATATTTGACATATCAAAAGAAAGTACTTATACCCTTTATTTATCCAATAGGATAAATAAATACCTTATACATCAGACTATTTTAAACATCATAGTTATTGTTCAGCAATAGATGGTATCATTGTAATTATAATGTTTGTTTATTGTTTTATTTTTCTTAAATTATTTTCAATTAAGTATTTCAAAATTTAGAATTTAATTAATATTGTTAATATATATTAACATATAGTGAAAATAAACATTTTATAAATTTCCTAGATAAATTATCAAAAATTAAAGATTTATTTTAATTTTATAATTTGCCTAGTAATTATATTAAATTTCACATAAGAAAAGTAATAAAAATTTAATAAAATGTCTGATTTTACTAGACCGACAACAAACTATGTATGTGTAATATATAAATATAATAGAAAAACATAAATTATTTTCATAGTTTTATAATATTAATATTTTAAAATATTTTAGGATTATAGTGTTATAGCAAAGTCCCTGGCAAACAATGTTTTGATGGAGGATATGAAACCATTGTTTTTAGCAGTTAAAGGAAGTTTTTATTACTACCGTGGTGATGAACACAATGCATTTAAATATTTATCCAACGCTTTTCAGAACGAAACGAATGAAAAATTTGATTCTATTGAATGGCAAAATGTCATTGAATATAATTATAATTCATTATTAGAAAGTATTAAAAAAAATATTGGAATTAACAAAACACCTTCAGATGAATATGTAACAATCATAAACAATAATAAAATATTGGCAAATTCTTGGGTTCATTGGGGAACATTGATTCAGTTATTTTTTTGCCAAATGTCAATTAAAGATATACAAATTGCATTATTAGCTATGAAATGTTACATTATAGCATCTAAATTAATTACTAAAAAAAAATGTAATGCTGTAGTGGCTAGAGTATGTATTATTTGAATATATATAATATGTTATTTCTTTAATAACTATAAACTGTTTGAATATTTAGATTTTATGGCTTCTAATATACGATGATAATAATAATATATTATTGCGTACTCTTGAAAAATGCAGGATTATGTTTTCTGAAATATGGCTTCCTCAAGTACTTAATATTTGTATTGAAAATAATAAACCAGCCATTGGTAAAATTGTATCAGAGGTAATAATTTTTTTATTGAAATAACATTTGAAATTGATATTTTGTTGAACTATTTGGTTTCATTACAATAAGTATTTGATCTAGGTATTACTAAAAAAAAAAATTATATATTTTTATGTGAATTTAATATTAGTAGTTTTTCGATATAAATTCAAAAAAATTTTAAATTGTTATACCCTCTTAGTTTCTACAAAGTATAATTTCAATACAGGATTTGATGGTAATTTTGGCAAAAACAGTTCTAATAGAAATGTTATTTTAATTTTATAATTGATTTACTTTAAATGTTTACTGATATAATATGTATTTTTAGATTGGAAGTTTGTATCCCCAACAAATGTATTTAATATTGAAAAGAATGTATTTAACTGAAAAATTAAATAAAACGGTAATATTTATTACTTGTATTATGCAAATTGACAACTAAAAATGTGTTTTTTTTTTGTTTTTAGGACACTGTATCAGTAAATTATAAAAGAAGTATGTAAAGTATTATTTTAACTCATAATCCACATAATCGAGTTTATATTAATTATTTTTTGATGTTTTTCTTTTTTATGAAATAGATAATACTGAAAAGATAGATATGAAAATCAATAAAATCAAACAAATTATGTTATTGTTAAAAAAAAAAAATTTTGGATTCTTTCAATTAGACTATTTTGTAGATCAGGTTAGTTTAAATTTTAACTTTTATCTTAAATTAAAAATGATTATTATGAATGTCACAATTTATGATCTAAAATATTTTTTAAATTATGAAATTTTGTAGTTTAATAGACTTATCCCTCCCCAAGACCGTAACTGGGGGGTCCAGGGGTCCGGACCCCACCGAAATTTTCAAAAGTAGAAACATTTAAACGGTGAATATAGTTTATTAATTAATAATTGTATTAAATAATAATGTTAGACCTCCCTCCGAAATTTTTTTCCTGTTACAGCCTTGTCCCTCCCACAAATACCTTTTATACATTGGTGTTATATTTATACAAGGGCATTTTGTTTTATATGGTAATAATAGTAATTAATCAAATTGCTAAATTAATAATTATTAGTAATTTAATTGTGAAATCTTTGTATTCTTATATCTGAAATCTAGTTTATATCAAATATACAATAATACATGGGTATAATATTTTACTCAAAATATCCTATTTTAATCAAACTAATATAGTATAATGGACTCAAATATCTATCAAGCATACGTGAACTGTTTAATCAAAAGTTCCAATTTTACTTTTACTGTTTTTTATTATTTTACAGTATGGGTCATAATTCAATTAATTAATAAAACATGAGAGAAATCAAAGAAAAATATTTTATAAAATTAAGAAAATTAGAATTAAATTTGTTTGAACTCGCATATAAAATACTAAATGATATGATTTAAATAATTATACGAATTATTTGTTTTAATTTCATTATAAAACTGTGCTTCACACTTGTTTATATGATATTTTTCTTTTGAAAATGATGTTTTATTTTTTTGATTTAATTAAATAATAAAATAACCGATTTATACGTATTCAAAATATTAAGTATATTTAAAAAAAAATAAAAATATGAGTTCATATAAATTAATATGTATTAATTAAGTATTGGAAAAATGATTTTGTATTTTTCTTTTTATGTACAATTTATAGATAAAAAATTTGAAAGAAAGTTGGGATGAAGAATTACGTCGAAATCTATATGATTGTTTATGTCGAAGTAATGATTATGCATTTAAAAATAAAACTTTAGATATCCAGGTTCCAAGTGAAATTTTAAATTTAATTGAAACTATTATAACATGGTTAAAGACTCGTAATGCAAACACAGGTTTGTAAATGTATTTAAAACTATTTAGTTATGTTAATTTATTCATTATTCTTATAATCTTATTTATGGCAGAAACGTATTTTAAGTGCATAGTTTCTATGTTATTTAAGTAATATTACTATAATTGATACATTCTAAAATCTCATAGTTAAATATACCATAATTTATTTTGGGTGAAATTGTTGTGATTAAAAATGATAATGATAATTATTAATTATTGTAATGATATTCTGGTACTATAATTTATTTCTATGATAGTTTTGGTCTTAAAATTAGATAACTCAATTGTACGAGTATCTAGTTATTAATAAATAAATGCATGAGTTATTACATCACTCTTTACCAATAGCTTTTTGATCTACCTTTGACACTGATATTATATTAACATTATAGACCACATACTTAGTAAATAATAAGTCTACCGTAGTAAGATCTAACTAGGAAAAATTAATAACAAAAATTCTTCCATGTGTCACCACTTTAAATTTGAAATAAAAAATAAATGTGAATTTATTTGGTTTGCAAAATTTTTGCAAATTAACCCTGTAAGTTGAAAGATTTTTAATATTTTTAAATTATTATTTATTCATGTTTAAAGATTAAATTGAATGAACCATAAAAATACATATTTGATCCCAAATAATGGTATTAGAGTCTTAAAATTTAAATATACTTTAACTTGAAATTCTTTTATGACAAAAATTTAAATTTTATGGTTTATCATATAACTAATAAGAAGTAATGATTTAGTCATTATAACGATTATAAATATTGAATTTAACCTTTTTTTAATATGATAACTATAATATTATTGATTTGTAGTTAAATTTGAAAAGACTTACTACTACGAGTACACCAAGATACAGTTTCCATTGGATTTCAGCTTCACCTCAGTTCCTAGTATCAAATTTATAGTAAAACTGCTGAAGAACTGGATTAAATATTTAGAAAACATATCAACCTATCCATCAAAATTTATTCACCAATTTCGATGTTCTACTATCCATAATTTTGATTGGTCTGGGATAAGACTTCCATGTGACCATTATATTGAAGTAATGTTATATGAATGAGTGCATAATAAAAATAAATTTTAATAAATTTTCTGTAATTTTTTACTAACGTAATACATTTGATTGATAAAAAATATTTCAGGATTTTTTTAACACCGTAATGATTCACAATTTTGGTGGTTATGTATATCTAAAAGACAAATGTGGCACTGTTGTCAAACAGATAACAATTCGTGGAACTGATGGTCTGTTATACGCCTATAATATTTCGTGGAGTCAATATATTGAGTCTGAAGAAAGAATATACCAGTTATTCCATATAATTAATGATTATTTGCTTGATTTTAAAGTAAACTATATTTAAAATAAATATTATTTAAATTATATAAAACATTATAGTAATATGTTTTATAATTAACTTGTATATTTATGAATAATTTTATTATTTTAGGAAACAGCTAAAAGGTTTTTAAAAATCTCAGTTCCAAAAACATTTACAATATCACCACAAATACGAATGGTTGAAACTAATAAATCATTAATTTCTCTGCTCGAAATATATAAAGAAAATACTACAACTGATTGGATTAATGAGGATATCGAATTTTGGTTTTCAACATTGAAATATTGTGTTATGGTATGTTTATTATTTTATGGTTTTACCAAAAGCAAGTTATATAATTTGTGTGTATATTTTATAGTTGGAGAGACCTAATCCTTTGCAAACATCATTACTTATAGTACAGAAACAATATTGTTCTGATGAATTATTGAAAAATTGGGTTTTAATGAAATATCCGTCACCATCAGATTATTGGACATTTCGTAAAACTGTATGTAATGTGCTTATGATTTTTAAACCTTCTTTGTTTTTTATAATAATTTATAGTTTCAAACTCTTTTGTATTAGAAATCTATTAATTTAACCCTTTTTTTTTCGTTAGCTACCTTATCAAAAAAATTTATGATAAATAAAATAAAATTTCTAATAAAATCTGATTAAAAAGTCATCAACACTCAAAATATTATATAGACATATTATTAATAATTTTTATGTCTATGTAACCTTCCATACGATAAAATCTCTTTAAAATGTAGACAATCGCCTAATTATTAACATATTTATTTTACATAGATCTAAATGTATATCTATATATTTCATGCCTCATAAACATTTTATTTTTATATATGTGTATCATATAATTATAATAATTATATTTTTAATTGCATGAGGAGTTTTTCAAACAATTTTTTTGATATCATTTTGATTTTATAATATTTTGATTTTTTAAAAAAAATGTTGTGATCCAGATTTAAATAACACATATTACATATTATTTATCTAAATATTGTGATTGATAGTGCCATAACTAGGTTTTTTGGGGCCTCTGTACTTATATTACAGTATAATGAAAAAAAGTTAGTGTCGCAGCTAACCTTTGGTATACCCCTTTTTTTTATGGTATCGAGTAGCGGGGAGGAACTTAACCCTAAGGTATTACTTTTCCCCGCCGCCCATCGTTTATTGTGAAAACATTACAAACAACACAACACATTTCTTACAGTTTATGTAAATACAATCATATGAGGGTCTCTAACCACCCTGCATTTTGGCCTTCGGCCTACAAGAAGACAATTAACTAACGTTTCCTTCTTCCAACTGCTGGGCTCGTTCCAGCGCCTCCTTTTGGATCATTACACGCTTAGCAAATGTGGACACTGCCTGCCAGGCCTGGATGCTACTAAGCATCTTCTCCGCCAGGTTGTTTAGGTCCAGTGGGCCAATCGCCGCTTCCATCTCATCCCTTTCAGCCGTCCATGCACTACATTCCACTAGCGTGTGGCGTGCGTTGTCTAGCATTGACGGGTAATGCCTGCAGTTGGTCGCTTCTTTTTTCCCTATTCGATGGGTGTAGTAGCTGAAATAACCATGCCCTGATAGGATTTGGGTCAGGTGAATGTTCATGCTCCCATGTCTCCTCGTCACCCAGCTTCTTACGTCCCGTATAAGAGTCCACGTCCATTCACCCTTTGTGGCGTTTTCCACCCTCTGCATCCATTTCGCAGTCGTCTCTTCCTTTGCCTTTTCTATTTTCCTTATCAATCCCCTTTGTATCAAGAACAGCTTTTTCCTCTCGATGGTTATAAGGTCAATCGGAGGAGCTGAGACTAATATATTTGTCGCATCGTAGGAAATTGTGCGGTACCCACAAATACTTTGAAGTGCTGCTTGGCGTTGTACCTTTAGCAGTTCTCCCCTGGCCTTCTTGGAGTACTCCAACAAAGTTGCCCATATCGGGGCACCATACAACTTCACCGACTGGACAACGCTTACCAGCAGTCTTCTGCGTAGTTCCGTAGGTCCACCTATGTTCGGCATCAGCCTCTTGAGCGATGACAGCACCCGTTATCCTTTTGCAGCAACTTCCTGTACATGTTCTTTAAACAGCAGTTTCTCATCTATCGTCAGTCCGAGGTACTTCATCGTTTTGGTTATTGGTACGTCAACGCCGTTCAGTCTGATGAAGGGTTTCCTTATTTTATATTGCCTTTTGAATAGTATAGCTTTGGACTTTTCTGTCGCTAATGAGAGTCTGATTTTTCTAATCTTATCGGCGGCCACTTCTAGCGCTTCGTTTATGCGCGTTTCAACATCTTCTGATGTTTTACCCCAAGCCATAACAAGTGTATCGTCGGCAAAACTTATAATCTTTGTCGACTCGGGGCACCGGGCTCTTAGGACTCTGTCGTATGCTACGTTCCACAACGCTGGGCCTACTACTGAACCCTGCGGCACGCCGCATGTGATGTCCACCTTGAGTTGACCGTTGTCGGAATGGGGATGTGCCATCATTGCTGATCTTTTCTTGAAGTATGATTGGAATTTCTGCAGCGCTAGCTTAATGTGGTCCCAGCCAATGGAATTCTAACGCATTTCTAATGTCAAGGCTAACGGCGACGCAGAGTTCATATTTACCTAATGCCTCAATTGCGGTCTCCTTCAGTGTGCTGATTGCATCCTCGGTCGAGCGATCCTTCTGGAATCCATATTGTTCGTCCGCTAGGCCTTGTACACTTTCCAAATGTCTTTCGAGCCTCATGAGTAGTAGACGCTCTTAAAGTTTTCCGACATCGTTCAGCAAACATAAAAGTCTGTATGATGATGGTTCGTTTGCTGGTTTCTGTCCTTTGCGGAGTAGCACTATTCTTGAGTTTTTCCTTTTTTTGGGGGAAGTCGCCGTCTCGCAGGCACTTATTAAACATTCCCCTAAAAAGGGTAGGTTCTGCCCTGTGGGCTGTCGCGAGTATGCAGTTGGTAAGTCCATCAGGACCAGGTGCTTTCCTTCTGGGAGCCATACGTTTGAACGCCTCACTGACCTCGTCCTGCGTGAACAGAGGGATGGGGGTATCGCTGTGGTTGTACTCGATTTGCCTGAGTGATGCCTTGGTTGGAAAGAGCGTTGGCACGATTTCCTTCAACGTTATGGGCTCCATGTTCGCCGCCGTTGGTGGGCCTTGTAGTTTTCTCAATACCAGCTTATACGGTTTGCCCCATACATCGTTTTCCACCGTTTCGAGTAGTTCTTTACACACACGTTCTTTGCTCTTCGTTATCTCCGTCTTGAGTGCCTTTTTGCAGGACCTAAGGTTCTCTAGCAGGTGATCCATCATCGCTAATTCGCCGCTGTTCCTGTTCCGCACGACCACCGCCCTTTTTAATGCCTTTTTTGCTACAGTGCAACTGGAGCGGAGTTGAGCTATCTTTGGAATCCACCAGTGTTGGAGTTTTTTGCCATCTAACCTTTTTGGTTTCCTCTGGAGTGCAAAGTCACATGCGACGGTTATTTTTCTCTCGAAGGCATCTGCTACATTGCTCGCGTCCATGTCTGTCTTTAGTGGGGAAATCCAATTCGTTAGCACAAGGCCTGCTTTGAATTTCTCTGCGCTGATACTCTTAGATGTAATCCAGCTCCTCTCCTTTTACTGAATGTCATCTTTCCTACTGGAGCTTATGTCTGTTTGAATTGTGTACATTATGTAGTGGTGATCCGAGTAGTTTTCTTCGTCTAGTACCTTCCAGTCCCTGATGTTGCGGAAAGTGCTTCCGATGCAAACGTGATGTCAACAATTGAGCCCTTACCGTTACCATGGAATGTGGGCTCTTTTCCCTTGTTAATAATGACCATACTTAGTCCTTCGGAGAGTTCAAGGAGTTCATCTCCTCTGGTATTACTCTGCCAGTCGCCCCATACGGTTGATCTCGTGTTTAAGTCCCCGGCGATAATGATTTTCTCTTGACGTTCTAGCAGTTGTGCGCTCCTTTCTAAACGACGTAGGAATTCCCGATATCCTGCTATTGTGGTGTTTGGTAATGTATAGCAGCTGTATATGTATACGCCGTCCACCCTTACCAGAACATACTCGTCATCGGTCTCAATCTTAGCTATGGTGGCGTTATTTCCAAATACCTTGATTGCCACTCTTTTAGTGCCACTGCTTGTTAGCCATCCTCCGAGGCCGTCTGTGATCTCGTAGGGGTCGCAGGCGATGACCACATCTATGTTTTTTTCAACCACTGTTCTACCAGGTTTTGGGCCAATCGACAGTGGTTGAGATTTATCTGTAGAAGATTAATCATCGCCACCGGGTCTGTTAGGCGTTCCTGCCTCATTTCTTTGCGTCGACCTGGTCGTGGTTCGCATTTCACAATACTTAGCCACATGTCCATTTTTCTTACATTTGAGGCAGCAGTTGGAACGATCTTCTTCCTGGCATCCTGCTGATACATGCCCGGTTTCTAGGCATCGGAAACAAACCCTTTTCTTTTCTCCGATCAGCTTTATCCTGTAGGTACTCCATCCAACTTTTTTCTTGGGGTCGGCAGCTAGCCACAATGCCAACACTATAGGGGCCTCAATCTTTGCCGTGCTCCAGGCTGCTGTTTGGATATTAAAAAGTTTGATGTCTGCAAGCTCTGGATCCCGTTTAGCAAAAACTACTCTCAGCTCTTCTGCGGTTATTGACTCGTCCAGTCCCGAGATGAGCACTGGTGCCGTCCTCGTAGGTCTTCTTACACTCATTTTGTTCCCGAGCTTCTTTTCTAGTTTTTTAGCAAAGATTTCCGCTTCCTTTTTGCTACCAACCTCTAGAAGAATGTCACCTGCTGCTGTTCTTCTAGCCCCAACCACTTCAATACCAAGCTCTTCTAGGTTTGGTACTGCTTCTTTTGTCTTCCTAATCACGTCAGCGAAGGTTGACCCGTTCTTTAGTGCCTTATGGATGATTGCTTCGTTCTTTGGTATTCTTTTTCTGAGATTCCTAGCCCTTTTTTCCAATGTGCGCTCGGTACCTTTGCCTCTTTGTTGACTGACTGTCATCCAGGATGTGTTCTTGTTTTCTGTTTCAGCTTGTTCTTTATCTCGTCGCTGTCCTCGGGTGAGATTGCCAGGTGCATCCGTTGCATCACTTGCTGGTAACGTGAGTGGTGGCTTGTCCCTCCGCTTATTCTTCCGCCTGTTTTCAGCTATTTCCCAGTTTGAGGTGTCGCCGCTGTGCGGTGGGTTTTGGGGGTCTGTTCGCTATTGTTGTTGGTGTAGTTGGTTGCTCTGAGTCCGTGGCTCTCGTTGTTGCTGGTGCTTCGGTGGCATTTGATGTTGCTGCTGTTGTGCTGCTTTTGTATCTCGTCTACCTGCTCCGCCAACTTTCCGATAACTTCACACTGAGTTTTAATTTGTTGGCGAACACCCTCAATGGAGGCAAAGAGCTCGAATCGGGAGTGATCTGGTGAAGGGACGGTGTCCCCCGTGTAAACTAGCATTACACCTTCCACATTCTCTTTGAAGGGGCCTATCTGGGTCTCTGTAGTCCTCTTCTCTGCACTCATCTTCTTTATATCCGGGTCTGTTTGGATACTCCTGCTCGAGGTACTGGCGCTAACTTTGCCAGTACGTCTTCTCCATTGTATCAGTCCTCTGACGCCGCTCGACAGTTGTGTTATGAGTGCCTTAATTTTTCTCTTTGTGTTTGGGGCAGCAGTCACTTCATCGTCTAGCCCTTTCGACACCGTTGTATACCTGCTGTAAGTGTTTAAGGAAGCGGGCATTAGCCTCTTCCATGGTGGCTTTTTCATGTTGGCTTGGGGTTGAGGAGGCCATTCACCTCCTCTCAAGATTCCCAGTTGTTGTTGTTCCGTGTAACCGTGTTCTTATTTCTCCGATATTTCCTGTTTCCATGGACAGTTGCGTATTATCCGTAACTGGTATACCCCTTATACAAGACAAAATGTATAGCTCAACATTTTTAAAATTTTTCAATTTATGTTGGTTATATTTTATCATATTATAGTTTATCATATTTTTAAATACAACTCCAACAGTACATCAGTTATCAGCAGTCAAGTAGCCAATTTAATAAAAAGCAATTAATTTATTAAACAATATTACATTCAAATTTAAATAACAAAAAACAACATATAATAGGTATTATACAATGATTTTATTTTAAAAAGTTTTTATTTCTAAACTTCATATTAGCAAAGTCATTTATCAATTTGTCAAGATCAAGTTCTTTAGTCCTTGATTTTTCAATATTGAGTATACTGATGCCAGTTAATCTGTCTTGTGAAATTGAATTCCGAAGATAGTTTTTCAATAGTTTTAATTTTGAAAATGACCTTTCAGCGGTAGCAACGGTAATTGGAAGACTTAAGTATATAATAGAAGCAGTGAGAATTTTACTATAAAGTGATGAAAGATCATTTTCAATTATAAAATATAATTCTTGAATAGTTTGAATTTTTGTATTTTTAATAAATTCTTTTAATGAAATTAGTTGTCTAATTAAATCTGTTATTACATCATTATTATAAAATTATAGGACATCATAACAAGATTTAACTATTTCTGACTCTTTCATGGCAACTATATTTTGTGGAAGTAAAAATTCAAAATTTCTTGAAACGGAATGAAGTCCTTTAAATCAATTTCGTAACTGAAATAAAGCTGTATCAATAAGAGGATTAAAAATTGCTACACGAAATTTTTTTTCGGGCACATCTAACCGTCTATCTCCTTGAATTTCTCCAAAGTATTGTTTTGAATATATTTTATGGGTTGTAGATTTAGTTTTAAAATACCCCATTTATGACATAATCCAGTTGCTGATACAATGAGTTCATCATAATTATCTCTCATTTTTTCAATTGATAAAATTGTTCTTTGCAATAAATCACATGCCATGTGAAGATTGGTTTGTGGTGATTATAGTACCTTTGATACAACCGATAAAGGTTTTAAAATATTTCCCAAATGGTCATTAATATAACAAATTCAAATGATTCAATTTTTTTTTTTCAGTGATTTGGCTTTATTTTTTTCATCAGTTTTATCACTTGTTAATAATATATTGGTTAAAGATTTTAAAACATAAATATAAATTTAAGTGAATACACAGTGTTATGTCTTGCTTCCCATCGAGTGACACATAGTTTTTTAATACCTTATTTCTTATTTGATCTGTAGTTTTTTCACCAAAAGTCAACGATGTCCATCAGGTGCACTCTTGCTAAAGAACAGAAATGTATTTTGTACAACATCAAAGAATAATGCTACTTTTTGAGAGCTTTTAGCAATATTAGAATTAACGAAATTGAGGTTATGAACTGTGCAATGAATGTAGGAAGCACTTGATACGACATCTGAAATCCTTTTTTGGACACCAGTATATGCAACACTCATAACTGATGCCCCATCATACCCTTGACCTCTACATCTTTTTATGTCCAAGTTATTCAATAATTCATAAATTAAATTAACATTATCTTCAGTACCATGATTAATTAATGGATAAAATCCCAAAAAAGATTCCATTATTCTGAAAGATTTTTCTTCATAATCAACTACAACATATCTTATAATTAAACTAACCGGGTCTACTTTTGTGATATCTTGAGTCGAGTCCATTATTATTGTAAAGCATTGAACATTTCGAATCTCGTCACATATACCATGAATTCAGTTATACTTAAAATTTCTGTTCAATCTGTTAGCAAAGAGCCAACAAGTTTCACAGTATACCTTACTCATTATAACCGAAAAACATTAACATTGCCTTGGAATTTTCATTCCAGTTTTAGTAGTCAAATGATAATAATCAATTAAAAAAGAACGACCAGCATTTTTCAAACTGACATTTTTCAAAAAATATTGGTTTGTTGGCTTACATGGACCATATGCGATGATTTGTTTCTTTAAGTAAAAATCGGTAATGTTGTCAGTGAATTTGCCTCTATCAGTAGGGTATTCTGAGATCAAATCAAGTGTAGTATTTGTCACTGAAAAACAAAAAAAAAACTGATTAAAATAAAATATAATAAATAAGTGTAATAAAATGAGTTAGTAAGATAAAAATAAATAGATTTGTCATATAATGAAATTCTTAGTTATTGCATAAAATACTAAGGAATTTTCTATTATATTTAAAATTGAGTAAAAGTTAATCTTGTTAGAGGAAAATGTAAAGAACTGTTAATAAAATTAAAATTAATTATTAAATACCATTTATTGCAGATGATTCTATGTCCAATATAACTGATTTGATCCCATGTTTTAAATGGTCATTTTCATCTAAAATAAATTTTTGAAAAACATTTTCATCATATTTTTTTTATAAATTAATATAATATAAAAATATAGTATTGTACAATATTTGAATATTAGTAATCAAATACTTTTTAAAGTAGCTAGTTAGACATACTACTAGTAGTTACTGACTACAATATTCACAGTAATTTATTGTATTGGTATACTATATGTCTAGTTACGAGTATACTTTGCAATTTGTAACATTTTTAAAAATAATTAAACTACAAAAATGAAATATTTCGAATAAAACTTACTTTGTTCATGTTGATCTACTTTAAAAAAATTTTAATTTTTTTATTAGTTTTTAAAATTTGTTTTTCCTCTATTTTTTTTTTCTTTTAGCCGAACCACTAAAAACTTTGGGTTTCATCATTTATCACAGAATTTTTAATTAAACGATAGGTAACGATAGTAAAATAATAACCTTGACTCATTTACAAAAGTTAAAAATTAGATATAACACACAAAAATTATCAAATACAACGAGTATTCAATATCCGGATCACCACAATGTCAATATCATTCTAGTATTTCTAGATTTTTTAATTCCAAAGTGCTGAACTGCTGACTGCTGAGATCCTCAATGCTCATGAAGAATTCTAGTACTTTTAAAATAATTATAATCATAAAGATAAACAAATTTACTATTTAGATTGTGTCATAGACTAGTAGGTATATTGATATGTGATTGTGTGTCCATTCGTGTAATAGCATGTGTACAATGTTGAGAGTTATAAATTAATCTATTTTTGATTTTCAAATTTGAATTACCATCGTACATGTAAACAAAGCTTATTGGTGGTCTCAATTTTATCGGATATTTATTTGTTTTAACATCATTAATTGGCGTTTGATTGTAAAATAACATCAATCTATTATATAAATATAGAAATATTGAATGTACATTTTCCGTTTTTTTTTTTTTTTTTATAATCGAGTTCGAGTACTTAATTTTTCCTTTTTATGAGCCCCCCCCCCCCCATTTAAACATAAAACCTGGCCAGAGAATGCAACGTATACCTTGCGACCCCTATTGTTGCGGCACTAGTGATTGATGATAATTACTTATTACTATATAGATTAAAGTGATCCTTTCTAAAAGATTTCATGCCAACCCCATTTTATTTGATACTATATAAGAAGTAATTTATGAAGAATTTGGTGATGATGACTCACTTCCATCCCTTGCCTTAAAATAGTTGATAAATAACTGAAGAAGGTTCATTTCTGATTTATTAAGTTAAACTCTAAAGTACATCCAATACCTGTTATTAAAGCAAGAATTTTTAAAAGTTTTTCTACATTTGAAGCTGAAACAATTACAGAAAGTCGATCTGTATTTTCTTTAATTATCATATCTGGCAATAATTTAGAATTTCAGTGTACTATTATATAATTTAAATGGAAATCAATGATCGCCGATTTAATAGCTTCAGATGACTGCGAAAATGTTCACATGCTCGTTTAATAGTAGACATATTTATAGTAAATTCCAAAAATTTCACCTGAAAACTTTCTGCTCCAGCTGTTAATAAATGCACCGGTTCTAAAATAAAATTGTAATTAATATTAAATATTAATCATATAAATTAAAAAAAACTTCTATTCGGTGATATTGTAACTTGGTTCAAGATAAGAAAATTAACTATTAAACACGTTTTATTAAAAAAAAAAAAAATGTTTCATGAAGAATTTGGTAAATGTTGTATGAATTCGATTGTACCAATAAAACTATCAATCTAATGTTATTTTTACTAAGACTTACCTATAAACAATTTAATTTAAAATAATTCATATACAATATTTTATTATATCTTCAACAATTTGTATAGTAAGTATATAAAACCGTAAAACCAAAATGTTCGCTGAATAAATAAAAAAATTAGTAATATATGTTTTTTATAGAAAAAAAATGGACCTAAAAGAAATATTATTAGATTAAAAGTTATAGATAATATCGTCGCCTCAGTTCAAGACTGCAATAATTCAATAAAAACTTATTGAGATATCGACGCCTTAGTTTAAAATAACAATAATTCAAAGATATTCAGAATTGAGTTATCTGCATGATATTATCTGCAAAATTACGACGATTTCGATTCTATAACGCATAACTTTTAATTGCATTATTCACCTCTAGAGGTTGTTTATTTCATTCTAGAACCAGTAGTTTCATAATTTGAGTTATCACAGTCTTGAACTAAAGCGTCGATATTATGTTCTTTAATAATTTATGTATATTTTTATTCTATGTATTATAATTTTTGAGTTAAACTTAAAAAATCAGAAATACCCCTTTTTCAGTAATTTTTCAACTATCTTGTGGCACGGAAAGAGGGTGAGTCATCATCCCCAAATTTTAAATAGGAGGTCCTGACTCAAGAAAATAAAAATAAAATATCTTCTATAAGTAAAAATCACCCTTATATATATGTATATATATACTATTGTTTTAGTTTATTGAACATTACTCGGTGCTTTGTTTTTTGGAATATGCATTTAACTTAATCAAATTAAAACCTGAAATGCTATGTATAGACAAAAATAGCGGAGTGGCTGCAGTTTTAAATTATACATTTTTTTTAAATGAAGTTAACGGTTAGTATTTTTTTATTTTATTTTTGGAAATTATTAAATTGATTTCTATAATAATATTAATGCATGCTGGTAATGAAATGTTACTAGGAAAATTAGCTCAAAATCAAAATACACCTTTTCGAATGACACCAAACATAACAAAGTTTATTACACCTTATCGAAAATATCAAATGATAAATTGCCTAACTGCAACTGGCCAATGTTTGTTCCACAGTATTGATGATATAAGTGCTAAGCTTAAATTATTATTAAAAGATGAATATATTGCTGCTTTCAATGTTGTATGTATTCAATTATATTAAATAATTTTCTAAATTTTAAATTAATATTAATATTTAGTATTATATTTACACTTATTAAAATGTATCACAGTTTAAAAAAAATGATATATTAACATTTAACAAAAAAAATGCCATTAAATTGTTTGCATATTCAGTTTCCAACATCCTGGCATTTTAAAATAAAATATTTGTTCTTTTTGCTTTGTTGTTGAATAATTTAAGAAAATAAGTCGTATTATTTATTAATATATTACAGTGTATTTTAGATTCTAAATTATAAATTCCAAACAGTTTTCTTAATAATTCCAAAAATTGATGAAAAGTAATTCAAGTAAAATCAGTAAAATGTACAACTTTGATCCACACTTTTAGGCTTATTTTGGTCAGAATCTTTTTTTCAAGAGCAATGGTAGCAATTGTTTCAAGTTCAAAAAACCAATATAGTTATATTATTCACCCAAACTTGCACCGTCGAATCTCATTTGATCTAGGAATTTCGCTCCTTTTATTAATAACGTTTTAAAGTTGAATGTTATTAAATTATTTCATAATACATATATTTAAATATAAGTATTACAAATATTGTTTAATATTTTTTTTGTTTATAGAAGTACATTTATTTTGCACCATTAATTATAAAGAACAAAATTCTTGCCCTTGATTTCCCTTGAGATTCACTATAACTGAATCGATGATTGCATAAACGTCACGAGTCACATATTTTATGAAATTGAGATATTAGTAAAAACATATACGAGTCGTGTGTTTCTATGTATTGGGTGTAAAAAATTCTTTAGTTATACTTTTTTTATAAAATAATTAAAGATGTTTTTACGCTCAACGCATAAAAACACATGACTAAGGCATATAGGTGTTAGAAGTTTTATTTTATTTTATGATAAAACAAATTAATAAAAATCTAAGCATCTATAATACCTTCATGTATACTATTTTAAGTAATTTATAGGTATCAAAATTGTTTTTAAATGTACTTACATATAATAATACATTGCAGTTAATTTTATTTCAATTTTAAAATTGTTGTACTTCAATTTTATATTGTACCTACTATAATATATATTTTATACTAATATTGTACTTTAAAGTTGTGTACTAGAACTATCATTGAAATGTATTCTTTAAAAAAAAAAAAATACTTTAGGTAGGTAGGAACTACTATAGAATTGATACGACTGCAGACATTAGAATAATGTAGCGTGTGTTATCTTTTAATATGGGGCTACATAGCATATTTTGCTTGCATTTCCATAGGGTGCTATAATAAGGATAAATAGTATGTTGTTGCTAAAGAACTTAAGTTCCAGGTTATCTAATATATGAGTAGACAATATTTTTAATCACACAATATATTACACCATTTATAAATATATATACTTATATATGATTTTTTTTTGTTGTATCTAAATAAATCAAATAATGAGACATAATAATATAAGAATAAAATATATTTCCGCTCACTTTTTAATAATTTAATAATTGATAAATTATAATAGAATCAATTAGAACATAGATATGCATTTATATTTGTTTTTCTTGTATAGAGATGCCTAAGATTAATAAAAGTGTTCAATGAGAAATTCATCAAAAGTTTCATCTCGATCTCGTAGAAAAATTGTTCAAATTCAAAATCAAAATGCAAAAATAGCCAATAATTTAGTTCAGTCCTACTATGCAGACAATTCATCTATAGTCTATACCAGTGGTGCTCAACCCGCGGCCCATGGGCCACATGTGGTTCGCGAAGGTATCCTATGTGGCCCGTTACGAATTTTCTAAAATAAAAAAAAATTTTAAAAATGTATGAAAATTTTTTTAAATTATTTATTTTCATATATTATTTTTATTTAAATTTATGAATTCGTTTAAATAATTATTCCAAAAAATACAATTATAATCATATTTGGAGCACCGTTTGTTGTTATGCTACTTAAATTTCCCCAATCAAGCATATGATTTTGAAGACAAAGATTTACTTTTTAAAATTGATCAGCTCCTGTTGTTCGATCATGCATACTTTCCAAAGAAGCCAACTCCTCTGTTACATTGAAATTAATATCAATGCCACGTATAATTATAAATAGTTGGGTAGTATCAATAATATCAGTACTCTCATCCAATGCCAGCAAAAAATATTTGAATTCTCGTGCTTTTTTCTGTAATTGTGTAACTATGTTATTTCCTATATTTTCAATACGTCTGGTAATTATGTTTTGTGATAAACTTATATCTTTAAAAAGTTCTAATTTTTCAGGTATTATTTCTTCAACCACAGTTAAAATATATTTTTTTATAAAATCACCATCACTGAGAGGTTTATTTTCACTAGCTATTAAATTCCCTACTTTATAGCTCGCTTGTACAAAATTTGTTTAATTCGTTGTTTAAATAAATTTGAAACATTTTGGGTGAGGATATTTGTTTTTTGAATGCTTCTACCTTAGTAACACGTAATTTTCCTAATAAAATAATATATTGGTACTATATTAAATTTTTATAACTAAATTATATCGAAAATAATTGCTTACATTTTAAATGGCCAAATTTATCTTGATGTTTTGATTCATAATGTCGTTTGATATTAAATTCTTTAAAAACTGAAACCGTTTCATGACACACAAAACAAACGGCTTTTCCATTAACTTCAATGAAAAAGTAATTTATAGACCATTTTTCATTAAAAATTCGGCAATCATCGTTATATTTGCATTTTTTTCTGTCTGACATTTTCATACGGAAACTTTACAATTAAATATCGATATCACCCGTGTACTTAAAATAACGTACTGATCAAATTAATGTGTACCTCAATTCAAAATTTTTTCAATAGACAGTAAAAGATAAGAAAACAAGTCCAATACATAAAATTATTTTTGTACTTTTATACTTTGTGGCCCGCTTGAAGATAATTGTTTACCAAAGTGGCCCGCCAAAGGAAAATGGTTGGGCATCACTCAGTGGCGTATTTGAGGGGGTTGAGGGAGAAATCGCCCCCCAAGAATTTTTATACCAAGACAATTTTTATATAAGTAATGGGTATTTTATTAAGAAACAAAAATTATGATTTATCTTATAATATTACTACATTTGAAAACGTTTAAAATTTTACACTAATTTAAATAACGTAAAAAGCTAAATTTTTCATAATATTTTAATTGTCAATAGCGGTAAACGGAAAATTTTTTAAACGTTTAAATTTGTATAACGTTTAAACGCTTAAATTGAATAACGTTTAAATTATTTATAGCGTTAAACGCTCAATTGCTTATAACATTTATAAGTCCCATAACGATAAATAATATATATTATTTTGATTGAAGACCCAGTCCATACTTAGTGAAAAATTAGATGAAACACAAGCGAAACTTTTAAAACACAGATAGGTGTTAAAAAAGAGCTACACAAAATACCATTCTGAGTGGATCCAGCATTAGATTAAAAAAAAAAAAAAAACCTCAAATATTAAGGATTCACCTGATATAAATACTACCAAAAATTTTACTTGTAAATTTTAAGCCTGAATTAAAGAAAAAATTTGAGTCGCCCCCCCCCCCTAAAAGTATATAAGTCTAAATACACCCTGGTCTATACCAAAAGAGAACGGTCAATCCGGCCGGCTGATTTTCGTCGGTCGCTGCGCATCTCCAACCAACGAACCGTAAATGGGCGGTGTTTATGTCAAGTGATAGATAAACAACATCAATACACTACGATCGCTGTATAGCGCAATACTAATAAGTAATTAGTAATTATTAAAGCAGCCATACGTTTCGCTAATCGTACAAGATCGTCAACGTCTTCGACAAACGTCAGCTATCAAGGTGGGGGAAATTTGGGTTTGGCACTGCCACAGTCGTTAGTTGTATGCGCGAAAGTGACCGTTCTCTTTTGGTATAGACTATAGTATACTATGGTTCGTTTTAACTAATATCTCAATTTCATAAAATATGTAACTCGTGGTGTTTTTTTTTATCATCAATTAAATTAATTTTATTGCATTTATTATACTTAATTTTAGACATTATTCAAGAGATATAATATTTTAAAATATCTGAACTATAAGAAACAAAATAGTTAAAATCTATTAACTTATGGGCATAAGTCATTTAAATTTATATTAAACGTGGGCTTTCAAAGTAATACATTTACTTTTAATAAATAAATCGTTATATTTATACATTATAGCATATTAAATATTTTAAGTTAAATTTTATGAAGAAAATAATGATTGTTTTATAATATTCATAACCTTTGTTATATAATGCGATAATGTGTATCAGTATTAAAAACTGAATACATATTTTATTTTAAATATTGTTTACTGTATAATAATTAGAAATCAACATTTATTATTAATAGTATATTCTGTATGTTAAACTAACTATGCAATTGTAAACTTATAATTTAAAAAAAAAAATTATTAATTGTACAATTTTCTTTTCTTATGAATCTCAGAAAAATAATCAAGGCCTTATGGATAATAACCAAAAAACAATTGATGCAGTTGAACATAATTTTAATCATATATTGAATAACTTTAAAGATTTCGAACATTTTTCAATACAAAATCAGGTATTAACATTAGTCTAAGAATACACAAAATATTTTTTTAATCATGCAATATGTAAATTATCTTTTCAGATTCCTAATCTCTTAAGCAAAGCTATACTTTCAGATGTCTTATGCTTTGAAAACCCTAATTGGCGCCCATGGTTATAATTAAGTTACTATAAAAATTACCAATTAATAATTATAAAAATTTTAAATTATTTATTGTCTTATTATTATTATTATTTTTACAATGATGAATTTTACATTATTTTATTGAGACTGATAGTTAATTTTAGGTATGTAATTTATGTTTGTAATATTATTATAATTGTAATTTTTTATAACATCCTCTCAATTTTCTGAAATCCCATTATTTTTATATTTATACAATTATTTCTTTGTAGTTTATACTTGAATTGTAATGATTGTATTATATATTTAAATTTATTTTGTAAAATTTTATAATTTTAATAATTCCATTAATAAAGAGTTTTATATAATAATAGTTATTAATATTACCTAATATGAAATAATATATAAAAATAATAAACATATAATAACTTATAACTACTGTAAATACATAAATACAGTGGAACCTCGATAACTCGAATCTCTAAAAGCCGAATTTTCGATAACTCGAAGGAATGTTTTGGCTCCTGCCTTACAATATATGATCTGCGTGATAAATTTTCTCGATAATTCGAATTTCGCTAACTCGAATTAATTATAGTTGAATTTTGGCTTATAACTCAAATTTATATAACAATATATAACACATACATACCTCGATAACTCAAAGGTCAATAACTAAGTATATGATTATAAATAACAATAATCATAATTGAAAATCACTTAATATTATCAATCTAGTATTAACCTAATGCTTAAAAAGTACAGTTATAAATTTAACGATATAATATGGCTTTGCCTAAAACTACTCTTGCTCAGGCATTAGATAGTTTACAGGTTGTATGTAAATACATTCAAGAACAATGAGAAATTAGAGAAGAGATTTTTTCCGTGCTAAATGTTATTGATAACTTTAGATTTAGGTAAAACAATAAAAAACAATCAAAAATATCAGATTTCTTTAAATAATAATTCTAATTTATTCATTACATTGTATTTTCTTTATGACATACAATTTATTACTTTATACTTTTTTTAAATTTTAATACAATATACTTATTAGTAGATATATAAAATTAAGTCTTTGTGTTTTTAAATAAAAAAAAAAATTTCGGTAACTCGAATTTATTTTGCCGTTTCGAGTAATCGAGATTTTTCATCAGTCGAATTTTTGATAACTCGAATTGTTTTTTTTTGCTCCTAACCGATTCAAGTTATCGAGATTCCACTGTATATATATGTTATCAAAAGTATGGATAATTCGTCATTATGCTTAATGCCTAGGCTTTTTAAAAAATGTTTTAATCACTAGGTAATATACATAATTTGTATATTTCCTAGGTATTGTTCATAGTTCCAAAAACTGAACACTATATATAAACATTGATTGTATATATTATACTATATAAAATAATAACCTATTGGTAATATGCACAATAACTGAGATTACGAATAACAAATTTCTCTATTAGCATTTAAGTATGGACATGTGTATACAATACACATATGTTCATTTAATGTTTTAATGTACATATTTTTATTGCACTGTTATATCAAGTCTTATAATAGACAAAAAGTCCACATCTTAAAACAAATTACATATAACTGTCAATATTTAGGGAATAATGCTAGTATTTATCCAATGAAAAATATGACGAGTTAATATTTGTCATTTGTGTTTAAAATATATGCTTTTCCATTAAAATGTTACTCACAAACTTTATGCAACTATCAATAAATTATCTGTAATAGCAATATACTAATAAATATATAAAATTGAATATCATTATTTTTCTATAAGTTAAAGTTTTATAAAAAAAAAAAATGATATATACATAAATAATATAAATACATTTTCTTACTTTGCCTAAAGCTAGTTACACAATATTGTGTAACCATACACACTATTTCTGGGTTGCATGAACATCCGTTAAACGTTTAACGAGCCGTTAGTGTGCTAACGAATGATTAAATTTTTATTCATCCGTTAAGCAATCTTTAAACGTTCAATCTTTTTATCGTGCCGTTAAAATATAAGTTAGTCGCTCATTAATCTAATGTGCCAATTTTGGCTCTTTAAATTTTAATCATTTGATAATTCTATAGTTATCACGCATACATATTCAGGTGTCAGTAGTACCATTGATAAAAACTATTTATAATCAATGGTAGTACGACTATATACCTAGTACATACTACATCGTCACTGTACCCTGTAGTTGGTCGTACCTACCTACTATATTTTTTTCTTAATAGATATAACCAAAAATAATAAAAATGTCAAGTTCTAATTCAAGTTTATCTATTTCCGATGATGAATTTGTTTTGGGTATTTTGTATCATTTACCTAGACCAAATTTATTTAGAGATCAATCAAATCCTTTGGAAGAATTTGACGAAATCAATTTTAAGTGTCGATTTAGGTAAGTAAGGTGTTTGAAAAACATATATAGCCTAGATATTATAAATTTAAATGTTAATAACACCAAATCAGTTTTATTATATTATTTTAATTCTTAATACGTATTACATTTTATTTATAACAAAAATCTAAAAATATTCTATCATAATCCAGTACAAATTATTAATAATCCTACTAGGGATGGGCATAAAATCCAAATATCTGAATTATCCGGATTTGCCGAAGTATCCGGACTATCCGGATTTATGAAAGTTCTTTTGAAGTAAAACTTCTTTACTGAGGGTACGACAAAAATATTTAGTCAGTGACCGACTGATTAGAATGAAACGACTGAATAACACGCTAATAAGGCGCATGCGCGTTGTATATCTGCTACTCAACGGTCAGTATACCACCCCCCACTTTTTTCTTTTCTAAGCCCAACTTAGCAAGTATTGGAATTAGAGACCCCAGACCCAAGGGGATCTGAGTTCTTATGGCTACAGAGTAATTTCTTCCATTCGGAAACAAAAGCCCCTTCATTTTGCCAAAAGCTTCATTTCGAGTTGGTCATAACTCAGTGGGATTACAATTTAATGACCCCAGACCAACTGGGAACCGTTCCGGAGGTGCGGAACTATAGGTTTCCGCTATAAAGATCGGGGCAACCCCTGCCCCTTTTTTGCTTTTTTTCTGTATTTCAGTCCAGGAGGTCACTAGGACCCACTCCGCCACTGGGAAACGCAGGGTTTCGAATTCCCCCCTTCCTTGCTAACCTCAATGAAAGAGATCAATTGCCATTGGTGTTAACTGGAGACTTAATTGTAAGCTTTGCTTCAAAACACTCCAAACCAATTATACATTTTTTCCGAAACAAACTTAATTTAATAATGAATAATGATCCAATGGCACCAACAACAAGATCAGGAACTACGATTGATGCGATTTTTACACGGTACCTACCTAATGTATAATCAAGAACTTACATATCTTATTTCAGCTATCATAGACCAATAATATCTACTTTTCCAAAAGAAATATCTACAGACGAATCCTCCGACGAATACATGGAAATTGATGAATTAGAATAAATGTATTCTAATTTTTTGTTTTTCTTATATTTTTCTAATTACAAAAAACTATATATAAATATTGTTTACGCGTATAAGCGATCCAAACGGTCATGAGAGCTCATTAACGGCCTCGCCAGATTATTATTATTATTATAATATGAAAATTATGTATATGTTACGCGATGCACCATGTACTGTGCATCCGTATCTTTGTTTTCGTTTTCCTCGTTTGATAATTATTGAAATCATGTTATTTTTGTATTTTTTTTTGTTATGTGTCGGTCATGATATCGCACTGCTGGCACATTCGTTCGTCCACGTTTTTCGTCGTTCGTCGTCAGTCATTGAGGCAACTGTTGTGATTTTTTTGTATTTAATCATCGTCGTTTTTGCATAAATACAATTTTTTTCTTTTATATTCTTATTTTTTGATACGAATATTTGTTGTGATTTTTTTATCGTTTTTCCTTTTAGTCTAGCATTGTGCGAACTAATTTGTATTTATCAATTGTGCAATCATAATATATTGTTTTACGCCATTGCGGCTATAAATTACTAAAATATTTCTATATTATGCCATTGCAGCTAATACTTATTAAATTGTTATTTTTATTCCCATGCCATTGCGGCTTTTTTTTGTAAACTTAATTATTGCTGTAAGGCTTAAATTGCCACTTCTTTTGATTAGAAATTTATTACTACTATTTATTGTTAATCGGCTCTAATAGCCAATATTTAAAATTTTGTCTTGTATTGTTTATTTTTTTTTTTTTTTTTTTTATTATTATCACTATTTTATTTAGCTCAGGCAGCAGCTGGCCAGCGGTGCTCCACAAAATTATGAGTTTTTTTTATATATTATAATTCTATTTATTTACAGTTGATAGTTCAATTATAAATTATTATATTTGTTGTGCCAACCAGGCAAATCAAAATTATATCATTATTTTTATTATATATTTATTGTGCCACTATGGGCAATTAAAAATTATTTATTCATTTCCTAAACATTAATGTTATTACCGTGACTGGTCCTTCAACATTCGTTGTCGCCATTACAAATATATATATATATTTTTTTTATACTATAAACTATATATATATATAATTATAAATCTTAAGGATGTATACTACACCTATCACTATTAAATGTTTCAGATTGTCACATTTATTTTCAAAAAATAGACATACATTCTTATAAATGTATGAGATGCTAGATATATGACCCCCACGTGGTGCACCCCGGGTAATTCTAACAATATATCAAAAAAAGTCTACGAGTAATAAGCCTCAATTTAAACAAGTCGTTAGCTGTGATGGACCCGAACTGTTATTCCAACCTGTCGGTCACGTCACTTATTTTTTTCTCGTACCCTTAATAAAATAGTTTCACTTCATACCTACGTGCGTACTTGGAACACGCACCTTTTTTTATATAAGTTATAATTGTTTTTAATTTTATACATGCCGTTTCATCTGTAGTAACTTTTCCATCTCCAATATCTAACAATTGTTTTGAAAATCTTCCGCACGCAACTTTTTTTGATTGAATCGCAAGTATCAAAATCATTCGCTCTCTATCTTTACATACATATCGACCATGAATTAATGACAAAGCTCACGGCATCGCAAAATA